ATCGCCTTCCAGTGTTCCACCCCATTGGCCCTCTCTCCTGCTCTGTATTGACGTCGCCGAACAGAGTTGCAGCAGCAATTCCGACTTGGGCCCTTTAAGTTGAAGCTCCTTTGGCCAGAATTTCGTTTGAAAATACACTCCTGGGATAGTTGTGACGGTGTTTGCGGTGGTGAATGGATGCGATCTGCCTTCAATCGCCACGAAAAAATCGACCGTATTCAAATTCTGTTTTGTCGTCACAAAACAGGGGTTGTTGCAGGTTGGTGGTTTCAATTCTGTAACTCCCTTCTGTAGCTTTCTTAAGCTCATGAAATTGAACCCAACACACCTTTGAACCCACGACTGAGCTCTAGATTCTTTTTCCTCGTTTCGATTCTCCTCCATCTGTTTTAAATCGGCAAAAACTGCATCGGGGGACATAGGCTTCAATTTGATCTTCTTGCCCTCATGTTTAAACGTATATGTGTTCTCCCAGCCATCATGGATAACCCTTCTGTCAAGTTGCCAAGGTCGACCCAACAGAATATGGACGTTTTGCATTGGAACTACGTCACAAAGCACAAAATCCGAATACTTACCAATGTGGAATTCGATTTGCGCTTGTTTGTTGACCTTCACGTCTCCATGTTCGTTGAGCCAGGTGAGATGATACGGTTTAGGATGCTTCTGGGTTTTTAATTCAAGCTTTCTCACGGCATACTCACTAATCAAATTCGCACAACTCCCTCCATAGATCACCAACGAAGCTAACTTGCCATTGATATTGCATCGTGTGTGAAAGAGATGATCTCTTTGTTCGTCGGACTCACGATGTTTGATGACGATCGCTGGAGGCATGCCTTTGCTACAAATTCGTGCCTGCTGCTCCTCCTCACTGCCCACCATCAACTCCTTTGCTCTAAGGGAGTTTTGAATCGTGATTCAACACGAAACAGCAGCTGCAAATCTTAAACAGGGGCTGCCCTGTTTTTGACGAAATTTGCTTGTACGAATCAGCACGTTTTCGCCTTCTTCTTCGCCCTCGTGTAGAACCGGGCTCTGATACCACTTAATACGCCCCTGGGGGTGTATTTTTATCAAAGTAACGCAGCAACGACTCAATCGAAGAATCGATTGAGCTCGAATCAAGAACGAAGCGCTCTTAATACGATCTTGGGATAAAACGGAACCAACGGACAATTCCACACCTGGGGAAAGCTCGTATGGTATAAAAGGGTAGCTGCTCGACCACGATTGAAGAGGATATTCAATCGATACAAAGCTCACAAGCTTGGAATCCACCAAACTCAACAAGTCGCAACTTGCACAAACCAAACGGTTTAATTTCAATTCTCAAAATCTGAATTTTACAACGCAATTAGAAGGCTATTTATAGCCAAGAAAACCTAATGTAACTAGGAAACAATTATGGTAAAAACAAACTCTAAAAACAGTACAAAACTCGGCCACAACTTCCTTTCTTGACGCACAAGTAAGCTGCCCGCAAAACAGTCAAAAGGCAGCTTTCGTACTAACTTCGCGCCTTTCGTTCGAGACCTTCCAGAACTCCGATCTTTCATCCGATTCCTTCCCTTGGTAGATAAACATACCTAGTTTCATGTTGTAGAAGCCTTTGGTCTCGAATCAGATCCATGCTTCTTGAATTGAGCTCCAAAGTAGGCTTCACAAAACAGTTTTCTGCCTTAGCCATTTTCTGGCAGTTTTCCAGTTTTGAGGTAGCAACTTTGAGGCCTTGGAAAACAACCTTAATGACATCGTATGGATCCATAAAGCATACCATTGGAAACATGGTAACTTTATCTGCAAAACAAACCCTTGATCTCCAATTTCCATTGAGCCATTTGTGAGATAGAAGCTTCCAAAGTAGGCTACCTGAAACTGTTTCAACACTTGGCCAAAAATAAGAATTCTTCAAGTGAGGTGAGATAGCTTCTTTGACAAGTAATTGTGAATTGTGGATTGATCCAATTGGGATCATATCACTTATCTGGCTACCGGCTATCATGGATACGATGACGTTTTGGGATCTTCTCATCTAACCCTAAAGAGCCAACTCTGGCTCCCTCCCTTCCGTCGAGCGAGGTAGCAGCCGAGCCGTCGCTCTCGTCTCTCCTCCGTCTCCTCCCAAATCACTACCTCCTTCAGCCGACGTTAAATCCCGGCCCCAACATAGGCGCCTCTCCCGTCTCGATGCCAGCTCCCCGCTTCTCGACACAGCTTGCCGGCCACCGCCTCGACGTCAGCTCCCCGCACCTCGACGCTTCACCCCGGCCGCCGCCTCGAAGCCGCATCGCACCGCCACCTCGACGCCAACTCCCCCCAATCGGCCACTCCGGTCTCCGGTGCTTCAGTTAGGTATTTCTTAGCAGTGGGTTTTTCTTCTTCTTGAGATAGAGAGAGTAGAGGAGAAAGGAAGATAGATGTTTTGTTGGGTTCTCAAATTGATCACTTGTTGTAGTTGTTAATTAGAGTGGAATGCGATAGGTTGATAGATGAATTTTTTTTAACAAAGAGTACTTTTTTCATATCCACAGAAACAGTTATAGATGGAGTTGATTATGTTTTGTTGTGTAAATTGCTTAATTGTTTTAATGTGAGGATTGATAATTTATATAAATTTAGGTTGTATTGAGAATTTGAGATTGTATGATGTTATATATATATATATATGCATCATTTATTAGGTGTCTCTCCTATATCTTATCTTACAATATATTAAAGCGTTTTCAGAAAAAGCCTCATGCCACGTAGGCTTTCAAGTTCTCCCCGCGTTTCTCGCTTTCGGCCTTTTTTTTTAAAAAAAAAAATTCCGTCAGTTTTGGTTGTTTCTACGGTTAGATATACCTTTCCTTCCTCCGGGCTAAGATCAGGTGACTAAGGGGGGTCCCCTTAGTCACATGGCTAAGTGAATCTCAACCACTCAACCTCATTAAAATCTAAGGGCTCCTATTAATCCAATTTAATGAAGGGCATTGTAGTAATTGCATGTTTAATTTTTACTTTTAAGTATAAAAAAAACCAGCCGTCCGCGTCGGCCCGTCCCTTGCGCCGCTTCGTCTCCGTCCAATTTCCGGGGCAAGAAATTGCTCCCATCATCCGCCATTATTCCCTGGAATTCCCCGGAGAGAGAGAGGTGCTGGGAACTCTTGTGGAATTCCCCACTTCAACTACGAGAGAGAGAGAGAGAGAGAGAGAGAGAGAGAGAGAGAGAGAGAGAGAGAGAGAGAGAGAGAGAGAGAGAGAGAGAGAGAGAGAGAGAGAGAGTATTTTTGGTCGGAGCCCTTTGGTCGGAGCCCCTCTATATAGGGATGGAGCGCCTCCAAAGTCAACCCAGGTGTTTTTTCCCGTTCGTATGGATTGTCGGTCTAGTTTGTCATTTTTGTCCACCATGTTCGTACTGTTTGTATGTCTAAAAAACACCCGGGTTGACTTTGGGAAGGAGCCCCTCTATATAGGGATGGAGCCTCAAAAGTCAACCCGGTTGTTTTTTCTTTTTGTATGGTTTGTATTGTTTGTCGGTCTAGTTTGTATTGTTTGTACAGTTCATACGTTTGTAATGTTTGTAAATCTGTTTGTATGTTTTGTCGCTCTAGTTTGTACTGTTCGTATGTTTGTATGGTTTGTACTGATTGTAAATCCGGTTTGTATACTTCGTAATTTTCCATAATACCCAAACTACCCCTGTCATTAATTAAATAGCCCTTCCCACTTTTTAACCATTAGATTGAAGTGTCCAGATCTAAGGGCTGGGAGGGGCTTAGTCAAGTGACTAAGCACCCCTTTAGTCACCAGATCCGCTCTCCCTCCCTCCTCCCCCCATATTCCTTCCAATTTTTTGCCATATTTATCCTTTTATTTTCTTTCCGTTCAGGTTTTGTATTTTCTTCATATATAATGATGCTTAATTTTTTCAGGCCGTTCAATAATTCCTTCAGTTTTTTATGTCTATAAAATAATTCATTATCAGATGCTTATACTATACTTTCTAGGTCACGTAGTGTAAAAGTTTAAACTAATTAGTCAACATTTTTAAAAATATATTATTAAAAAGACACAATTTTTATATCAACTACTAAATGGTGTTATTTTCATACAATAATAGAATTAAAGGTCTTATTTATTGATAATTTTTTCTATATAACAAGAATCATTGATTAATATATATTGATCATATAATTCAGAATACAAGAGTTGTTTTTAATCTAAACATATAATTAGATTTTTCTTAAGAAAAACATACAATTAGATTCACCCAAATTTTATGGTTATATTGCATACGGGTTAAGGGTTTTAATTATTGAAAGTTTGTTTATAGATCAAGAACCATTTATCAATGTAAGTGTGACTTAGAGAATCCAACCATCATTAGTGGGATGCTAATAAAATTTGATGAAATGATTTAGTGTGAGAACGTTAGAGCATCCAACCATCATTAGTGGGTTAATGGTTTTAATAACTGTTGAGTTATTTTTAATATGGATATGTGATATATTTGGGTAAGAGTCAAAATTTGACTAAGAGTTGAATATATTCTTTACGTAAGTGACTACAGATTATTTTTTTTATAACTAGATTATTAACTATGCTTGAGTGTGTGGTTGATAAATTAGTCTAGCCTACACTTAATCACCTTTTCATGAATCTGCATTAATATTAGATACAAGAAATAAGAATTATTTTGTAAACATATTTAACAATATATAAATTATTTTGGCATTTCCAATAGATACGAATATAAAAATATGCATATTATAATAAATGATAAAAAAACATATCCCGGCCAACTGGTCGGGTTCAAAGCTAGTTAACTACCTATATATTTTGTCAAAATCCACTTAATCTGGTTGAACGTCGATCCGACCATTAAACCTCAAACTCCTTGTCAAACCGATTTGACCACTTATTCCGGTTTGACAACCTTGTGTTAAAAAACTGTTTGTGGTTTAGCGGAAACTATGTGCTAATACTCTCCGTTTGTAGTCCGAACCATGCCGTTTTGATTCTTCTCCTTGCTTCGTTGTCCATTCAGTAAGTGCTTAGCCGATTCGGGAGAAGTGGGTGGTCTCTGCGCCATGGCATCTCGGTGAGTCTTCGAACAACACTTCTATTCCTCCAATTTGTTACTGGGTTCCTCTTACCGTAACTGGTGTTTTTGGGTTTTTGTTACTAGTTCCTCTTTCCGGCGGCGATCAGATGGGCAACTCACCTCTCTCTCCGAATTCCCTCGTTGAATGAGGCCTGAGGGCAAACTATTTCCTCCGCCGATCGACCCGTCAACGACGAAGAGACAGAAGCAGACCGCAGACTTTGAGATCGGCGATTTGCCCAACAACTCCTCTGGGTTCGAAGCTTCTGGTCACCGTACTAAACAGCAGCAAGCTTCTCTATCTGTCGTTCTGTTCTTCCACCTCACATATGAAATTCCTGTAAGCTCCTTTCCGGAATGATGCTTCCATTCAACTCTTGTCCTCTGGCATCCTCTATAAACAATCATCGCCTACAACTTCCCCTGCTGTGTTTCCCCTCTGTTCCTGCTAGTTCCTTCACTTTCTGTATTCTTTGTGGTAGTCGGTAATACTGATTTTAGAGTTGGCTAATCAAGTTTATCAATTTGTGATCTGTTGTTTATCCAGTGGGGTGATTTTGTTTAGGTGCTGGACTTTTGGGTTAGAAGACTATTTAGAGTAATGATACCTCCCATACATCCTCAAAGTATACCTTTCATGCATTGTTCTTTCAGTTTTAGCCCCTTCTTTTTGGTTGACATATGGAACAGTGCAGTTGGCCTATCTTTGATCTTGTGTAGCTAGCTAGTAATTGTTCACAAAACTCCACTACTGTTGGATACTGTAGTACTGCAGGGGGAGTTTAGATGGTGATAATTAGGTCCCATGAATCTGTGTTTGCTAGCTATACATTTCAAGTGCATTACTGTTTACTAAACCGTATATGATCGAGTTTTTAATATAGATAGGGTTTGTTGTGAAATGGATTGGATCAGGTTTTCTCAATCATTGGATTCAGCCGAAGATTGGTAGTGGGTTCTTGGTCACTGGCATGTTCTTGGAAAACCCAGGGTCCAAATGGATGTAGGCATTAGCGATGAGAGCTTGTCTCCTCCACGTGCCAAGTGGAGGAAGGTGGCATATGGAGGAATGCAACCTGGATTCGATGACAATCACACCGATGAGTCGTTTCTCGAAGATATGGTGATGAATGCCAATGTCGTGAAAAGGGACATAGCGAAGGTGATCTTGGACTCTGTTTCCATCTCTCAGTACCTCTGCATTGTTTCACTTGTCATCTTGGTATGGACCCACAGCCTCCAATCTACCCTGGACGAGTATTCCCTGCTGCTTCTCGATGTCTGTCTTCTGGCTTCAGGCTTCGTCATTCTGCTACTAACCAGAGAAATGTCTTCGCTCCGTCTGTTCTTCCACTATCTCCTCAACATTGCGTTCTTCACTACGGGATTATATGTGCTGTCGCCTATATACAACACCCTGACTAGGTCGATAAGCTCGGACACGATCCTGGCAGTGACAGTTTCACTTATTATTCTCCATCTCTTCCTCCATGACTATTCAGGATGTCCCATAGGGGTTCCAGGAGGAGCCTTATTCACAGCTCCAAGCTTGACCAGTTGTGTGAGCTTAAATGCTTCTGTGGTTGCTTCAGTATTTATTGCCTCCCGACTTCCGTCAAGGCTTCACGTGTTTGCTGTCATGCTGTTCTCTATGCAAGTCTTCCTGTTTGCCCCATTCGTCACTTACTGCATCAAGAAGTGTTCTTTCACACTTCACCTTGCCTTCTCCTGTGGGTTGATGGCCTTGACGCTCAGCCTCGTGTATGCGCTGCACAAGCTGCTGTTTGTAGTGTTGTTGGGTTTGTTGGTGTTTGTCAGCGTCGTTTGTCCTTGCTGGCTGATAAGAATCCAGGAGTACAAGTTTGAGATCAATGGTCCATGGGATGAAGCTAAGCTTTGTTTTGACATAAGGGATTAAGATTTGAGAGTTGGTTGTTTGCTGTATAGAAACTGTTGTACGTTACTATTGCGGGCTTTGTGTTCGCTCTTCTAGTTTCAATTGTTACTTGGATTTGCTACTGCATAGGAAACACGTGCTAATGGTGTTATTATCAAGCTAGAACATCTAAACCCTCAAGCATATTTCATCCAAACAGCACGCTAGTTATTTGGTAGCCTTCCAAAATTTCCAATTCGTAGATCAACTTTCAATTCTGCAATATTCTCAGGGAAAATAAAATCCTCGGAGAAAATGTCGTGCAATTGGTGAAGGCATCAAAACGAATAGCATGCTAAGTAGTAGGGGTATACATGGGTTGGGAGGTCTGGGTTTAATCATTTTAATCACCCGATCCATGCATTACGCTTTGGAAAATATTAAACTTAAACAAAAAAATTTAAACCCCATGGTTTGTTTCTAATTGGGTTGGATCGGGTTAGCGAAATTTTTAAGTAAAAACCCAACCCAACACAAAATATATAATTTTTCTACGCCATAAAAATATTTTATAACTAATTAAAACTTCAAACAATAAACCGAGGTGAAATGTATCAACATTCACAAATGTTGTTTGAATTTAATAAAATGTGATTTACTTCAACATATTTTTAGTTTTTTTTACGACATTTGTTGAAATAGGCTAAAAAGGTTATAAACGTACGCATTCATATTATGTTATTCCATTAAAATTGTACACAAGAAAAATGAATACGTGAATCATTATATTAAATTTATGTCTAAACTTTAAGTCAAAAAATGCATTAGATAGGGAAACCATGAGAGAAAAACATGGCGAAATATCTTAATTTTCTAATAAGTATGACTATACACGACATAAATATTTTTTTGATACGAACTCATACCAATAGTTGGAATACGGGTTGTGTAATTCAAAATCCAAACCCAACCCAAAAGAAGCGGGTTGTACAAAAAAAAACCCTCACCCAACCCAAAACCTTCATTTTAGCGATAAATACGAGTAGATTGAGTCAGATTGAACGGGTGGATCGGCTTACGGGTGAGTTTGTTACCTAATGTTAAGCAATCAAATTCTTAAATGAAGATGGGCCAAAAACTTGCTGGTTAGCTCTAAGGAGGAAGAAGCCAAGCTTCCTGAAACGTTGTCGTTTAATCATTCATATAAAATCCGGTTTGCAGCTCGTGTGGGCTCGATCAAGCAGCATTCTTCTCGGGTCCAGTTGAGCCATTGTGACCCAACTCAAAACAAAATTTTTTTTTTTTTTTTTGATGGTTACAAAACAAAAATTCATTCTGCATCAATTCGAGTTTTCTATCTAAATTCTTCCTCTTCTGTTGTTACAACTTACAATTCCCCTTTTGAGTTCTTAGGGTTCTTGGCTTCTTGCAGCTTAACGATTAAAATTGTTCCATGCAATCAGAAAAGAGAGATCACCGCCAATAAGAGTAGATTCTCACACTCGATTCCGTGTACAATTGTTAGTAATTAATTTGCTTGGTTTCGTTTCAATTGCATATTTCAATCTTTCAGTTTCGTTTCTTTTTTACTCATGTCTTCCATCCTTTTCTTATTTGCTTAGGCAGAGAAGATGCTTTCATGAACTTCAGTCGTGTGAATGGTTGCGGGGGGCTAAGATTAATGTCTTTGTCCCCAGCAGTCAGCAGATGAGCATCGATTCTTTGGAGAAGTCGGGAAGGGACACTAATGAGCGTGCAACTCCATTCCCCATTTATTGGGATTCCAGTTTCTGGACCTCTAAAGGTTCGAAACAATGTCTGTTTACCATATTTGGTGGGGTTTAGGAAACGGAGGCGGCCTCGTGATAAGGTTCTTCGTGCCAAAAGGCAAGATGATTGGAAAGCACAGGCTGTTAGGTTTTCAGATTTTTGCGGTAGAAATGTAGAGTTGCTGAGGAAGGCCATTGGATCTAGAAATGGCTTGAAAGTGGACTTTGTGGTAGAGCCTTTAACTAGAAGTAAAGCCTTTGTGAGGTCCTTGACTCCTTTGTGGCAAGAAGGCTTGCTCCTAGTGAGATGTTCAGCTCTCGTAGCTGTGATATCTGGGGTTTGTTTGTTGGTATGGTATGGGCAAAACAAAGCCAAGCGTTATATAGAGGCCAAACTTTTGCCTTCTGTTTGCTCTATGGTGAGTGAGTACATCCAACGAGATGTAAGTTTTGGTAAGGTTCGAGGAGTTTCTCCTTTAAGCATTACTTTGGAGTCCTGCTCGATTGGGCCTCATTCTACTGAATTTTCATGTGGTGAGGTACCCACTATGAAGCTTCGTCTTCGCCCATTTGCAAGTTTGAGTAGGGGGAAGATTGTAATTGATGCTGTACTGTCTCATCCTACTTTACTGGTCGTGCAAAAGAAAGATTACACCTGGTTGGGCATCCCCTCTACTGAAGGTGGTCTCGAGCGACACTTATCCACCGAGGAGGGAATTGATTACCGTACAAAGGCTAGGAGGTTTGCTAGGGAGGAATTAGCTGCTCAGTGGGCTAGAGAAAGGGATAATAATGCCAAGGAAGCAGCAGAGAAAGGTTATCTTGTTCTTGAGCATGATTCTACTCGGGCTGAAAATGGTGTGATAAATCATGACCCAACTCCTTTGTCAGATACAACTAGCCCTGAATCTTTTTCCTGTGTAGATGATAAGATGCACTGGAGAGACCATCATTGTGCCGACACTAGTGTTGATTATGATGTGAAGCATGCTGATCTCGAGAAATCATTTGGTAGAAGTTCAAGTCTTGAATTATGGAACCGAGTCATCAATGGACCCAGAAGAAAGTTTAAAAAGAGGAAATCCAACGGTATTGACAGCACTGTTGCTGGTATTAGTGCCAAAAGGAAAATCCTGGAACGTAGTGCATCTGCAACGATTGCTTATTTCCAAGGTCTCTCAAATGGCAAGTTTGATGATCCATCTCATTCACATGGGGGTGGCTGTGATACAGTGGATTTTGAGAACATTTTGGCGCCAAGCAAGGCTGTTAGTAGTGATATTGATGTTTCTGTTGATGTGAATAGTGGGAATCAATATCTTACAGATAAAAATAAAAACGTTGATGGGAATGGTGATTCCGGGATTGAGCCTTATGCCGAGAGAAAAAGTATTATAGGGCAACTAGATGACTTTGACCTCTTCCGAGATCCATTTCTGATGACTTTAAGTAGACTGAATGCAATAGGAAAGTTGAGTAATAAGTACCCTGTCGTTGGTCACAGTCTCAGGAGCACAAGAACCAGCATTTTAGATAAGGAAGATTTAGTGAATGTCGGTATAGTTGGACAGAAGAATAATGATCTGTACAAGATTTACAGTGGTCCTCCTGCATCTCAGAATTCGACTTCTGAAAAGCCTGAGACTGAATCGTCAGTTTTACGTCCAGTTCCAGTTAAGCCAGTGAATTTGAAGTCTGCATTGCCTTATGCCTCAAGAAACATTGTGAATTTCTCAAACAATCCTTTTGTTAGCCCCATGGCGAAGTCAAAGTCAAAGTCAGGTGTTAGTCCAACATTCGAAGACATAGTGGCAGAACTTGCTGATGAAGTAGATATTGTGCATGCTGAAGGAATTGAGAAGAAGCTTCCTGTTTACCTAGATTCTATTATTTTTAAGGGGGGAACTCTTATGCTAATGGCTTACGGAGATCGAGAACCTAGGTAAGGAGCACGAACATGGCTACGTGTGCTTTTGTGCAATTCAATGAAATTTCTTTTGCATTGTGACATATCTGTTAAAGTATCTATGCCCTTTTAGTGGAATTGGCACAATGTCACGTGGGTTTTGTGTTAAAATGGGTTTTGAATGTTATCTTGTTGCCTTCTCTTGCAAGTTGCAAGTATATGGGAATTATGATTTCGTGTTTTCAAGTACATATGCATTCTTACTTTCGTACTTCGCATCTTTGTTATCCATCCTATGGATCAATTTGCATTAATGTTTCTTCTTCATCTTGTTTTTTTTAAAGAGAGATGGAGAATGCCAGTGGACATGTGAAATTCCAAAACCACTATGCACGAGTGCATGTTCAGTTAAGTGGCAATTGTAAGATGTGGAACACTGATGCAATTTCTGAAGACGGTGGCTGGTTGGCTGTTGACGTGTTTGTTGACAATATTGAGCAGAAATGGCATGCCAATTTAAAAATTTCAGACCTTTTTGCTCCTGTACGTTTCTCATTGGCTTTTGATAAGGCATTTTATCCCTAAATTTGAGATTTGGAACGCGCACCTGAGTTTCATCTTTCATTTCTGCAGCTTTTTGAAAGGATCTTAGAAATTCCAATCAGCTGGTCCAATGGAAGAGCCTCTGGTGAGGTGCTTTTCTAACTTGTTATTGATTCTGTTTCTAACAATTTGCTTGATTTTATAATACCAGTGCTTTTCAGATCTGCATGTTTGATGCAGGTAATTTGTGTGCTTAGAATGATAGCCATTGCTGTGTCATTTATATATCTGAACTGAGTCCCAAGTGAAACAAATTGCGACATTTACTTGCCCTGAGGATTTAGTTATGTCTCTTTCAATGAGAAGTTTCTTCAAGGGTCCTCCAAGTAAACTGTATTTTCTTTGGTATGGACGGAGGATGCTTTACGTGACACTTCCCTTCTTTCTCTGTCTTGACATCCCACACGTTTGAGCTCTATTTTTGATTCATGTTGGTATGCAGATGTGTCCACCACTCAAGTGATCTGGATCCATTTTTTGTTCAATTACGGTTAACTAGGCTTCTGACTTTGTTTAGCTAATTTTATGTATTGAGCTGCTTACTGTCAAAGAAACTATGATATTTCCACTTTTGCTTGGGCAGTAAATTTATGCTTGTAAATTTATTGTCGCTGCATGTGGTTAAGTTTTAGTTGAGTAATTTTCAGGCACCGCAATTCGACTTCACTTGGAGCATTGTTGTGTCTGTAGAGCCTTGGTCTTTATCAGCAAGTTTTAAGGACTTGGATTGAGTTCGTGAAAGTGTCTATCTTTCATACGAAAGAAAGCAGAGATGTTTTACTATTACTTATGAATTTATTGATTATGATTTATACATATATTTCTTTTGCATAGAGGAAGTTCTTTTGATAGCATTCTGAGGTCTTTACACTGTTGCTGGTTCCAGGTGCACTTGTGTATGTCTAGAGGAGAAACATTTCCTAATCTTCATGGACAGATTAATGTGACAGGATTAGCATTTCAAATATTTGATTCCCCATCTTCATTTTCTGTAAGTTCTATGAGCATTTCATATATTCATTTGTCTTTATTGCGAGGTTTTATGATCCTTGGCTTCTCTTCACATCCTGTAACTTATAATGACCAGAAATCAAAGATTTTGCGAGGTAGGGTGTATTACGATTTATTTTTCCTCATTTTATTCAGAAACAGTATTCTCTCTCAGAAAAGTTGGGACCAGAAGCATTCATCATCCTAAGGTTTCAAATCCTTGCCTCTGATTACTCAGCATTTTACAGGACATAGCAGCCAGTTTATGTTTCCGTGGTCAAAGAATTTTCTTGCATAATGCTAGTGGCTGGTTTGGCAATGTTCCTTTAGAAGCTTCAGGAGATTTTGGAATTCATCCAGAGGAAGGAGAGTTTCATATCATGTGCCAGGTAGAATCTGACATTGCATTTATCAAGGCATTGAAGTCTGCTGTGTTTTATCTCTTTCCTGTTTTCTCTATAATCAAGTGCTTGACCCTTTATTAAATTGGAAGGTGAATCTTCACTGTGTTATTATAATGGGTTTATTTTTTGAATTCTTAGTTAATAATTGATGACTGAAACTATTGGGCCTACCAAGTTTAAGAATGAATCAGCATTAGCAGAATCACTAATATTCTGTTGGTCTTCACTAAATTTTTACTTGTAATGGATACAGTGATGACTTTCCTATTGTCTAGAATTTTTTATTTATATAAATCCCCATTATAAGCTTCTGTATTATAGAGTATCAGGGGAAGTTGACTTTGTTCCAAAAGGAAATATTATGATATAGATATTTTCTGTGTACTCCTACAGTCCTAATTGATATTGTGAAACAGCTTGAGTGAACTCTACTCATGAATCATCATGGCTCACCTCTTGCCAACATGTAGCTGATTATAGATTGAAGGGTAGATTGTGAAACAGGAGATGATGCCATCATGTAATTCATCTTAAAGAATAACATGAGTCATAAATGCTGACAGTGAGTTTGGGGTCTTACAACTGCCAAAGAGATTCTAAAGGGCTTAATCTTTGTTTTTTTTTTTTTGCGCAAATGCATAATCATAGTTCTTAGTGTGATTTAGTGTTCAAGTTTGTTCTGTATGGACAGAATATGACTCAAGATTGTGAAATGATTCTCTGAGCTCAATAGACTTGTTTAATATTCTTGCCACATGTTGTGCTATTTTGTTATCCAACTAACTCGGGCACATGTTGTTTGCTTATCAGGTTCCATCTGTTGAAGTTAATGCACTGATGAAAACTTTTAAGATGCGACCTCTAGTATTTCCGGTCAGTACATCTTAATTTTGTGAAGTGACATACATGTTCAGTAGGTTATTTATTCAAGCCTTTGCTGGTACCTTCTTTTCTTTGCAAGATCTAGTGATGTTTTCTTCGTTGCCTGCTTGTCAGAATATAAATTATTATAATACAAAAAAGAAGAAGCACTTATGTAGTTATAGTGATCGGGTTGTTGCATACTTGCAGAGTGTTGGGCTGTTGAGTTTTTGAATTAAACCAGTCAAGTAGATTCTATCTTAAACATAATAAGATTATGAAGCATGATTGGATGAGCTTTTCATTTCTTTTTGAAGTTAATTTGGACTTGTTCCTCAATACAGGTGGCAGGCTCTGTAACAGCTGTATTTAACATGCAAGGTCCCCTAGATGCTCCTGTATTTGTTGGAAGTGGAATGGTCTCGAGAAAGATATCCCAGACAGGCTTAGATGTCCCCATATCCGCTGCATCTGAAGCAATGCTAAAATGTAAAGAGGCTGGAGCTGTGGCTGCATTTGACCGTGTTCCATTGTCATATGTATCGGCTAATTTCACATTCAATACGGATAACTGTGTAGGTTTTATTTATGACTCTTCTTGAGCTTATAGTTGTGTATTTCTGGTGCATATGTTTATTGGTTCCCAGTTGGCTTGGTTGTTCAGATGGACTTTCACCTATGTAATAGGTGGCTGATTTATATGGGATCAGAGCTAGCCTTGTAGATGGCGGAGAGATTCGAGGCGCAGGCAATGCATGGATATGCCCAGAGGTTAGTTCCTTCTGTATGGCAGACAGCCAATGACATGAATGCTGTTATTTATTGTTTCGTGTTTTACTGGCAGAGCTGTATAGCATTCTGGGTTTTAATTATCGTCCCTTACTTTTTGAATTTGAGTGACTGACTGTGTTAAGACACTGACATGTGAGCTGTTATCTATTGTTTCGTGTTTTACTGGCAGAGCTGTATAGCATTCTGGGTTTTAATTATCGTCCCTTACTTTTTGAATTTGAGTGACTGATTGTGTTAAGATGTGACCGCATAGGGTTTCCTTCGATGCATTATGATTCCTGGTTTGTACCTCTAGCAATAGGTTCGATTTTTTTATTGTAGACAGGTAATGTTGGTCTAAGTTTGTAACCCAAGATGAGTTGGATGTTTGGCATCCCTTGTTACTACTAGGCAATTCCTTTGGAGTTGTTTGGTTTTAGAATTTCGTCCATAAAGAAATGAAATTTGATGGTCCAGATCCTGAGTTGTATAATTTTGCTGTTTTATTGAGCCCTTAAATAATGGACTGCGTACAGTATTGTGCGAGTGCTTTCTAGGTTTATTATTTTCTTTTGTTTTTCGTAATATCTTGCTTCACTTTCCAATTCATCATATTGTGGATGTTCTTTTGATTCTTTTTCGTTGTAATAGTTCCCTTATATGCACTATATCTTCACCAAATAATTTATAAACAAAGTGGGTGGTTGCAAGGAGGGTATGATGACCAATAACTATATCCGCTTGGTCTTTTTATGGACAACACCTATCACTTCCCCATACTTGGTCTAGTTTGGTTGAACAGGGAGGCGCAAGGTGGATACTCATGGAGAAACTATCATTTTCTATCTCTATTTGATTGACCTTTGCTTGTTGCTTCATAGCCCCGATAGAGTTTTGGTAGCAGAATTTTCTCCTAAAGATAATAAATTGATGATCCTATGGTGGAGATGTACCATAACTTTCTTTGGTTCTCCTACTTTGTAGCTGGATTGTGAACTAAGTTCATGCTTTTATACAACTCTTTATGACAGGCATGGTGGTGAAACTTGAATGGATGCCATAAAATATAAGTTCGAGCTAAAGAAATCTCTATCATCTGTTTGATATCCCTAGCCAATATGTGCAGATTTTTGGGCTGATTACATTTTTTTAAATCTTAGAGTCAAAGTTTAGTGTAGTCATTGCGTCTTGGATCATTGGTTTCATTCACCCTTTTCATATGTTCTAATCATATTTGATGTGCGGATTTCTGTTTTTAGCTCGTTGTTTCTGGACATGGGATGGATAGCTTTCCCTTTTTCTGACCCAGACGATCATTCTCCTTCAGGGCGAGGTGGATGATAAGGCAATTGATGTGAATTTTTCGGGAAATTTGTCTTCTGATAAAATTTTGGACCGCTATATGCCTGGTTATCTTCAACTTATGCCACTGAAGTTAGGTGAACTAACTGGAGAGACAAAGCTTTCGGGATCACTTTTGAGGCCGTAAGCTTCATGCACATTGCTTTCTTGTTCTTGCTTTCCAGTTTAGTTAATTAGTTACACTTGTTCAAAGTTGCTCATGATTGGCCTTTATTAGGAGGTTTGACATCAAGTGGATTGCACCTAAAGCTGAAGGGTCATTTGTTGATGCTCGAGGGGACATTGTGATCTCTCATGATTATATAAAAATCAATTCTTCATCTGTTGCTTTTGATTTACTTTCAAAAGTTCAGACCTGTTATCCTGACGACTATCATGGAAGAGAAGAGTCTTCTGCAAATACTTCTATGCCCTTTACGGTTGAAGGAGTTGAAGTAGATTTGCGAATGCGTGGTTTTGAGTTTTTCAGCTTGGTCTCTTCTTATCCTTTTGACTCTCCACGACCAACACATTTGAAAGCGACGGGCAAGATAAAGTTTCAGGGAAAAATTGAGAAGCCTGGCATTCCTGCGGAGGAAAATCTTTCTTCTAAGAGTGCGCAACATGTAGGTTTAGGAGGGTTCAGAGAAAGTCTTGTTGGAGAAGTTTCAGTATCGGGTCTCAGATTGAATCAGTTGATGCTGGCTCCTCAGCTATCTGGTCAGTTCAGCATTTCTAGTGACCATATCAAGGTAACAACTGAAATTTCTGTCGTCTTACAAGTGTATATGAGATGTTCTGTGTCGTTAGGCCTCATTTTGAATCTGGACAAAAGCGTCCCCCTGGCCTCAGCATTCTGTTGAGGTTCCTTCTCTTAATTCTTGAAGCCTGTTTACTTTTTTCTGTGGATAATATCTATGTCTATTGTCTAAAAGGACACCTGGACTAGGTGAATGGGATCATCTGTTTCTTGTTTGCCTCTTTGTGCTTTATATCTGTATGCTGACGTCAGTTTTCTGTGAGGTTGCAGTTGGATGCCACGGGTAGACCAGACGAAAGTCTAGCAGTGGAAGTTGTTGGGCCAATACGGCCCATTCTTGAGGAAACTTCCCAAAATGGAAAGTTATTGTCTTTTTCCCTCCAGAAGGGCCAGCTGAAAGTTAATATGTGTTTCCTGCCAATGCATTCTGCAACCTTGGAGGTATCTCTAGATACTATGGTTTCTGGAGGCAGGCTTTGATTATGATTCCGCCTTGATATTGTTAATTTTTTTCAAACGAATTTCTTCAGAGTTTGTCACTTGCTGTCCTTCATTTGCTTGCAGGTCCGAAATTTTCCCTTAGATGAACTGGAGTTGGCATCACTACGAGGAACCATCCAAAAGGTAAGCATTATTGTTTCGTCTTACCAGGTGATCCTATTTTTAATTTTTTTACTGCTATTCTTTGTCATGTAGTGGCATGATTTATGAATTTGAACTATCCTTTTCTTTTTGTTTCAGGCTGAAATTCAGCTTAATTTTCAGAAAAGAAGGGGCCATGGCTTGTTATCTGTGCTTCATCCGAAGTTCAGTGGCATTCTAGGTGAAGCTCTAGATGTGGCTGCCAGATGGACCGGAGATGTTGTAAGTATAAATTAAATGTCCCGTTACCTGGCATTTCTCCCTTCCTTCTTGAGTCATAGCATCTGGACATTTCCCCTTTTTGTGGTTGGGTTAGGGCCCTACACTGCCAGTGTGATGCTGGATGACCATCACTTAGTTGTCAATTCTGAACAGTACTAGATTGTATAGTATTGTGAAACACGTCTGTAAACTGTAGTTTGATTTAAGTTTTAGTGCTTTGGTGTATAGATTGGTGAAATATACAATATTTGCCCTTTTCCAAATACATCTTAAATGAGATATTGACACAATTGTCTTTTGATATTTTTCTGATACGCATGTTTAGATCACCATTGAAAAAACTGTTCTGGAACAAGTGAATAGCTATTACGAGCTTCAAGGGGAGTATGTGCTACCTGGCACTCGCGACCGGAGCCTGTTAGGGAAGGACAAGGGTGCTGCCTTGTTTGAACGAGTGATGACTGGTCATCTGGGAAGTGTCATATCTTCCATGGGAAGGTGGAGGATGAGACTTGAAGTTCCTCGAGCTGAGGTTGCCGAGATGCTCCCATTGGCAAGACTCCTCTCGCGAAGCACAGATCCTGTTGTTCGCTTGAGATCTAAGGTTTGATTCTGAATTTGCCATCACTTTGTGCTTTGATCACCGAGACTCATGAATGTTGTTCCAAAGCATTTACCTGGTTCTTCAGACCTAATTGTTCTCAAGTGCATAGGTAGTCAGTCTTCTTGGACGAATGATGAAAGTTTCTCTTTGCAGGACCTTTTTATGCAGAATCTGCAATCTGTTGGACTCTATCCTGAAACACTTCAGGCTTTACTGCAGGTGCTTCATTCTTTTATATCTGCATGGTTCATGTGCATAAAAACACAGAAGCATTGTTTGACACATGGTTTCCTTATGTAATTATGGATCTGATAACTTGCACAAATGTAGGAAATAAAGGGGCATCGTACTGCTCCAAATGAGGTTATTCCTGAGGACATAAGTCTTCCAGGACTTGCTGAACTTAAAGGTCGGTGGCGGGGTTCTCTTGATGCAAGTGGTGGAGGCAATGGAGACACGATGGTATGAACTAGTTCATGGGTTTCCGTAGTTATGTCTGACACAAGCTATTTGCCAGGTGTCTTTAGAAGGATCTCTTTGCTTGATGATCTTTTCTCTTCCACCCTCTGACATGTGGATTGTGGATCATGTTATCTGGCAGGCAGAATTTGACTTCCACGGGGAGGACTGGGAGTGGGGAACATACAATACTCAGAAGGTTCTAGCAGTTGGTGCATACAGCAACAACAATGGGTTGCACCTTGAAAGGTTGTTTATTCAAAAGGATAATGCGACGGTACACGCTGATGGGACTTTATTAGGACCAAAAACTAGTCTGCATTTCGCTGTCCTAAACTTCCCTGTCAGTCTGGTTCCTACTTTGGTTCAGGTAGTTGAGTCTTCAGCATCAGATACTGTTCATTCATTGAGACAACTGTTAGCTCCAATCCGAGGTATATTGCACATGGAAGGAGATCTGAGAGGAAGTTTGTCTAAACCGGAATGTGATGTGCAAGTAAGGCTCTTAGATGGTGCTATTGGAGGCATTGATTTGGGTCGAGCAGAAGTTGTGGCATCTCTAACTTCAACTAGCCGATTTTTGTTCAATGCCAAATTTGAACCAATAGTACAGAATGGTCATGTGCATATACAAGGAAGTATACCTCTTACGTTTGTGCAAAATAACTTGGAAGAAGAAGATACTGAGACGGATAACAGTGGAGCAACTTGGTTTCCTGGTTGGGCCAAGGAAAGGGGAAGGGGCTCTTCTGATGAAGCCATCGAAAAGAAACTATTCAGAGATAGAAGTGAAGATGGTTGGAATTCTCAATTAGCAGAAAGTCTTAAAGTTTTGAGTTGGAATTTCTTGGATGTCGGAGAAGTTAGGGTTGATGCTGATATCAGGGATGGGGGAATGATGCTGTTGACAGCTTTATCTCCTTATGCTAACTGGGTTCATGGCAGTGCTGATATTATGCTTGAGGTTGGTTAAAGTCCAGATCGAGTCTAATCATATTACTTGTTTGTTCTAATATCATTTGAATTGTCAATTTCATAAACAGTTACTGAACTTGGGGGCAACTAGCAAGTTGGTTACGGAACTTTGATTTTTGACGATTTTGTCACTGAAGCTTGGAATAGCTGCTGAAATAGTTACACTGGCCATCTCCATCAAGTTTTCATCCAACTGTCTGGATTAGTGTCAAGTCACCCTAATTTACAACAAAAACATACTCTATAATTAGTGGTCAGGCATGCATAGGAAGGGATTTAGGTGATTTTGGGCAATAAGTGTTGGATTTGGATGGGATATGAGGTGAAGTGGGTCTTCGTGTCTGCTAATTAGGGTCTATGTGCTTTCTTATGATTTATTTGGGAGTTGACAGACTAATCTTGATGATTGTAGTGAAAAAAACTTACGAAAAAGGAAGAAGTGGCTTTTATGTTACGTTAGTTATTCCAAACTTGAGCACCAAGTCTGTTAAAAACCAAAATTCAGTAACGTGTTAGTAACCGCTTTCTGTAAGTGATCCGATTAAAGTACATGCTTTGAGACTGATGTACAACTGTTCACATGTTTCTAAAAACTAGGTCAGAGGAACTGTTGAGCAACCTGTGGTGGATGGATTTGCTACATTCCATAGGGCATCTATATCATCACCCGTACTTAGGAAGCCACTCACAAACCTTGGTGGTTCAGTGCACGTAAAGTCAAACAGATTGTGCATCACTTCATTAGAGAGCAGGGTTAGCAGGAAAGGGAAGCTGTTCATTAGAGGTAATTTACCTCTTCGAACAAGTGAAGCTTCCACTGATGATAAGATTGAATTGAAATGTGAAGTCCTGGAAGTCCGAGCAAAGAACGTTTTAAGGTAAGATAGTCGATCCCCTTGCTTGCCATCTGTTCTTCTTCCAGTGTTAACTGTTTCTTTTCTATAGCTTGTCTATTTCCTTCATCAACTGGCTGCAAAACTAAATCTTTGTGATTAATTCAGTGGCCAGGTTGACACTCAGATGCAAGTAACAGGTTCCATACTGCAACCTAACATCTCCGGAAACATCAAATTGAGCCATGGAGAAGCGTATCTTCCACATGATAGAGGTAGTGGAGCTAGTTCGTTTAATAGACTAGCATCTAACCCAGCACGACTACCTGGTGGTGTCAATCTAGCAGCTGCTTCTAGATATGTATCACGTTTTTTTGGTACGGAACCTGCTTCAGGGACCAAGTTCGCTCAGCACACTGGTATGTGCTCCTTGCTTGTTTTTAACTTTCTTATTGGAGAATTTCTTGTAGTAAACTGAAAAGTTAGGTCAAAGAAGTGTGATTGTTTCAGCTTTTAGGTCAACTTGGCCCAAATCCATGGTTTGAGACTTCGAAATGCAGTCTATGCTAATTTTCATAGACCATGTCTTCTAAAAGGACATAGGTTATTTGCTTTGATATATTAATATTGTTATGGTTAGCAAATTTGGAGGAGCTATGCCCAGTATTAAGGTTGTTTGGTTTCCTGCTATTACAGTCAAATCAACTCAAGTTGAGAAGGATTTGGAGCAAGTGAATGTCAAACCAAATGTTGATATTCGCCTTACTGACTTGAAGCTTATGTTGGGACCAGAGCTGAGAATAGTGTATCCTCTGATTCTGAATTTCGCTGTCAGTGGGGAGCTGGAGCTAAATGGTCCAGCTCATCCCAAGTTGATCAAACCTAGGGGCGTGCTGACATTTGAAAATGGCGATATTAATCTTGTTGCAACTCAAGTGAGTACTTACATAATCTGTTCTATACTGCTAGAAATCCTTAAAATTATCCGCCTATGACAACTCATTCATTAATACAGGTGAGGCTTAAACGAGAGCATCTAAATATTGCAAAATTTGAGCCAGAGCATGGTTTAGATCCTATGCTGGATTTGGTTCTGGTTGGATCAGAGTGGCAATTCAGGATCCAAAGCAGAGCAAGCAATTGGCAGGACAAACTGGTCGTGACCTCAACAAGATCTATGGAACAGGATGCTCTTTCTCCTACTGAGGTGAACTGAAAATCGGAACCCTTACTGATGGCTTGTACAAAAGAGTAGGAATTGATTTATAATTTATTTCTGGTATCATTCAACAGGCTGCTAGAGTTTTCGAGAGTCAATTGGCAGAATCCATATTGGAGGGTGATGGCCAACTTGCATTCAAGAAGCTTGCTACTGCGACACTTGAAACCCTGATGCCAAGGATTGAAGGGAAGGGAGAGTTTGGGCATGCTAGATGGAGGCTAGTCTATGCTCCCCAGATCCCAAGTCTGCTTTCTGTAGATCCGATGGTTGATCCTTTGAAATCGCTAGCCAGTAACATATCCTTTGGTACAGAAGTAGAGGTCCAGCTTGGGAAACGCTTACAGGTATTCTAAGTTCCACTTTTGTTTGCTGAGCTTCATTATCATTTTATTGTCTGATTGACCCGAGTGTTTCTGTGTCTTGTTTGATGACTGTCCAAATCGTGGCTTTGCATAAATCCAAAAACTAGTATAAGATGTTAATCTTAAGATCGAATTGTAAAACCATAATTTTAAAAAACAGGTTTTGTGCTAAGATCCGACATAGTTTGGTCTTCCTAAATGGTGAGATTTGAAGCCCTAGGCCCGGAGTCTAACAATATTAATTCCTTCCATCTCTGGGCAGGCGTCGATTGTGAGGCAGATGAAAGACTCCGAAATGGCCATGCAATGGACACTCATCTACCAGCTCACCAGTCGGTTGCGTGTTCTTCTGCAGTCTGCTCCTTCGAAGCGCCTCCTTTTCGAGTATTCCGCAACCTCACAGGACTAGCTGCACACCATCGCCGTAGTTTTGCAGGTTTCTCGATTGGAGCAGTTAAAAAGGGTTCTCGAGAGCGTGGTAAATAGCAGTTGGCTGGTTGGTAGTAGCCGCGATACGAGGATAGAAAGATGTACATATATTCCGTTTATTCTTTAGCTCATGGAAATGTGTGAGCTTGTCTATAATCTAGGCTAGTTTGTCATCACCAACAGTGTCTACGTACGTTCTTCACCCCCCCCCCCCCCCCCCCCCCCATCCCTCAACCCACGTCTCGCTCCCTCCTCTTATGGCATGAATTCCATTTCACTGTGATTGTTTAAAATGTGTATTTTAGGAACGAATTCGCCCACCCACAACTAAGCGGGTGAACTTAAATTGGTAGGAGTGTGAGACTGTATTCTCTCAAAAATTGGTTGGACTGTATTCGGTGTTGGAGCCAGAAAATTAGTGAAGGGAGTGTATTCTTCCTATAATAAAAAAAACTTCATGATGAAAAGTTGACTAAACAAAATAAAAAGTCTACAATATAATTACAAAATAACATTTCGTCGCATACTACTTGCAACGAGTTGCGATTAGATTTCAAATTCTTATAGTATTGCATAACACTTTTCTTGGCAAAACTAGGAACACAAATATTGTTCAATATATATGTCATCAATGCCACGTTCAATCACTTTTTGTTCATCCGATTTCAGATAAGGCGTGTGTTTTGTGTGATGAAAATATCATTATTAATAGAAGATGTTGTCGCCCATGGGGGAAGAGAGCAGAGAAGCGCCATTGTTGTTACCTCTCGAGGTTTGTTTTACTTCAGTGCTTCACTTAATCCATTGTCTCGTATTTCATTTCCTTTAGGATAGGACGACATCGCGCCGTCGTATAATTCTCCATTTACTAGTGATTTTTAAAGCATCTATATCAAACTATCATATTGAAATAATATTTAAATAAGCAATTTAATTCATTAAATTCATATATTAAACATATTATATGGGTTTTATATATGTTCATATGGAGCCATAAAAATCAAATAATCTTTAAATATATTAAAGGGGTTTCATAAAATGACCCCCTCCACGTCAGCCATGGAGCTTCCTCCGCATCTTTCGGTTTTTCCCGTTTTTCTTTTTTTTCTTATTTTTTTAATGTCGGGTAGTTACCATATTTTGTGGAATTTTTTTTCCGTGTAGTTTTTTTTTGTCATTTAGTTTTCTTCCATAGTTTGATAGTTAATTATCTTTATAATATTTTAATATCTCTCCTGCGGTAATTCAGGTTTGGGTAGAATTAAGGAATTTTTCCTCTTTCACCTAGAAAACTCTTCTACTTTTTTTTAACAACGTTTAAGAAATTCTAGCATGTCGGTTGGATCGAAAATACTGGATATTGGATCCAAATTGATAGGTAATTTTAACGGTAGGAAACGACTAAACTATGGCTCAACACGATTTCAGTACAAAACACTTTACCACAAACTTTTTCAATATAACCTTTCATGCATTTCGTTTTACTCTAAACAAAAGCTCTTTATTATCATTTTGAAAGCTATGCGGCTATGCCAACTATCTTAATGTGAGAAAATATGTATATAGTGATATGACTATGCAAAATTGTGTAATATAATCTTCCAAATACAACACATATCCAATAGAATTGAAATTTCGAAAATTGAGATTATTTTGATGTCCACTCATAAAAAGATTAGATTATAAGCACAAGCTAAACTTATAAATTTTACGAATGTTGGAAAACACTAATACCTTTACAAAATTTTGAATACTGAAATTACAAAAATTTTAGAATGAAACATTAAAATCTTCAAAATACTGAAATAAAATTGATTAGTGTTGATAAAAAGATGGAACTCGCCCGCACAACGTGCGGGTTCAATGTAAAAATTTTAAATAGATAAAACGCATAGACACGAATCTTGTGGGGGTTAGTCGGGTTACACCTTACACGTAAACCTGCCGTCACTTAACACTTAACAGACCCACAAAAGGCGATCTAATAAACGGCCGTGGATGGTCGTATCTTTGAGAAGCCTTTCTTTTCAATTTCGTTCTCGATCATTTCTTCTCCTTTAAATGCTCGGTTGCTCCCTGCTCGTCTGGAGAAGAAACCGAGCTCTCACCGGCGCTCAACCGATCGGAACGACCAACTCTAGGACGTGAAGGAAAAGAATTCCAATTCCAGTTTCGTTTCCCGGCGATCTTTCCACATTCTCGCGCTTTCGCTGTCGAGGTACATCTGCGAGCAAACAACCGTCTTTGTTAGAACGGCGTGCTCCGCTCATCGATCTCTGCTGTTTGGAATCGGAATCCAGTCTGATCTTGTTTCGAATTTCCCGCGGTGGATACGTAATGTAAAGTAGGGTTACGAGTATGAGAAATGAATCGTAAAGGCGATCTCTCGCTTGTTTCTTTGTACAGTGTATTTTTCTTTTTTATAGTTTCACTGTATGATTGATGTGTGTGGTGTTTAGTTGAATCGTATTTTGTTTCGGTAAAGTTACTCTGAAGGTTGAAGAAACTTGTTATGGAGACTGCTTTCTTCAACTGCTAGCCTTCAATTGTATGATTGCAGTTGAGATTCTTTTGGCTATCTTGCTAGTTTCAGCAGATATTAGTGACTGAATGATTGATGAGGATGGATAAGAAGGGTTTAAGTAGCTAGCTTCCTGCCATTGCTTTAACGCTCCGTGACCATGGCGGGTTGATTTGACTGTGTAGTTGTAGTGGTTAACTTTGAAAATCTTACTTCAGAACTCCCTGCTGATCTTTCTCGATCTGTTTGTCTTTTGAGTGTTAAGGATACTGTCCTGGCTGTAGCTGGATAGTAAATAAGCATTGGTATAATCAAAGTAAATGATGATTTCGTCAGTCTTGAATTCTCCTCCATTTTCCTTGTACTCAGAAGTCAGAACCTTTCCTTTTGAACTTCTGCGAATCATGAATTTCCTAGCTGAAATCCTGTCACATTTGCTTATGTTGTTTAATTTCATTTTCTTTTTGTTTGTTCTTGATTCTCAGTGGTTCCTTTTCTCCATTGTAGCAATGAAGCCAGGAAATTCTAGTTTGAACCCATATGCAGCTTCGTATATACCTGTTTCTAGGAGGGAAGTAGTTGAACATACTCAATCTCCAGGGGTGGTTGCAAAAGCTTCGCAGAGTGGCAATCAAAACGTGTGGTATGGACCTGGGTATGCCATTGAGAACAGGCAGCATGGGAAAGCTTCTCCAATTACTTCAGCCGAAAGCCATTATGGGAATGGAGTCTATGGTTCATTATCACAGCAGCAGGATGGAAGAACCGAAAAGCAAATTATGGATGAAGTTTCTGACTTTGAATTGGAATTTCTACAGATGACGTTTCCTGGTGTATCTTTTGAATCACTTATGGATGTGTATGCAGCTAATAATGGAGACTTGGAAAACACAATTGACATGCTTAACCAGCTTGAGGTAAGTGAAGAGTAACCAACCGTTAATGGTTTCTGCTCCTTAGTAGGCGTTCAATGTCGGATGCTCTTGGCTTCGGGTACTGACTTTCTGGTACAGTAGTAGTTATCTCATCTTACATGGTTGATGCTTAAGTTAGGATCTGATTTAGCTTGGTTTATTGCTCAATCTCTGATTATCCGACTTATACGTTGCTCTCTGTACATTTTCACTGTTTTGCTCTTTTTTTAATTGTTATTTCTTATATTTGCTCGCTCTTTTTTCGCAGTTTACTTTGTATGGATGGGTTGTCTACTTACTCATCTCTCTTCACTTATTGTAGTTGTTTATCTCTACCAAAGCTGTGATCCATCCTGTTAAAAAAAATTCTAGCTTCTCATTTTTGTTTATAATTTTCTTATATTTTCTGAAGGCTTGAAGGCTGTAATTTAGGTATGTTATGCAGTGAATGCGAAGAGGAAAGGATTATTCTCTTTAGATCAGGAAGTTAAAAGGGGAAAGGCTGATTTTGTGTATGACCTACCATAACTGTTTGTAGGTTTCTTCCATCATTTTTTTTCTTAGTAAGTGGTAGAAAACTTTGAAGTGTTTACTTGGGTCTCTTGCAAGGATTGTGAAATAGTACCGGAAGTTGTACCGGAAATGTCAGTGATAGGTATTTTGTATTAAAATTGTGGTTTAACGATGATCCAGGCATGTCGTACCGGTAAAATCGCCTATAATTTGGGGTCTGATTCCCTATATTTCCAGTTGAACCGGCCGGCAAGGTAGGGTTTAGTAAACCATGGTGTCTTGTCTTCTAACTTTTCCCTTCCAGCGGCGGTGTAATTTATTTAGTGTTTGCAGCTTCTTTAGCAATTGGTTAGGCTACCATTGAATCTCAGCATATACTAAGACCTAACGAATATAGTCTCTTTTTGTGGAATTTATGAGGTGATTTCTGCTTCTGCTTCTGGTAGTTGACAAGTACTTTATGTTTTGTTTTCTTTGTCTTCCTGCAGGTTGACATTCCTCTCCCTGATTCTTTGGATATCTGGGATGTTTCAGAGCCCGCGTCGTTAGTGAAACAGAAGAACCTCGTAGGCGAAGCCAGTGCCTCTTCATCTGGTTCCACCTCGGTCCCAGGCCCCGCTGTCTCGTCTTCTTGATTCATTTACAATGGGAAAAAGCAGAACAAATGTTGAAAGTGTTGTTCCTTCTCTTTTGTTTCTCCCCATTTCTGTGGATGGAGTAGAGTACATAGAGGAATTCTGGGTTAAAGAGGGAAAAAGGTAGATAGAATATGTTGTGGTACAGAGTTTGCGCGGGCGGTTTTCTTTTGTTTGGATTCACAGGCATACAGGTTTCCGGTGTTGAATCTTCCTAACTGGAAGGTTGGTCATTTTGGGTTCTGCAGTTTTCCGTGTTCTTCAGTTTTGCTGTCCAATAGGGTGTAAAAACCGGCGAGGATGACGTTGGATGGCTTGGTTGTTGCAAGTGCACTTCCATGTTTGGGTTATACCTAGCCAGCTGCTGAAAGATTTCCTACGGCAACCTACACACTATCTGACAATCATTTCTGTTAATCGTAGATCTTCCTTCACTCATTTGACAAGAAACGTCGGACTTACGATTGGAATTGAAGGATTTGGTGGTTTCGCATTACAAGAGATGAAAGTCCAGACGACCAGACCGAATGTGGGTTTTTACAAGTTATGTTTACGAAGATGTAGAGCACGTGCGATGAGTCCCAGAATATGCTTCACTCTCCAACGAGATGGCTCCCGCCCGACGAGACTTTGGTTGGAGCCTGAAAAGGGTAAAGAACAGAATCAGAACCTCATTAGACCAAGAGAAGCTCAAAATAAAAAGTAGTTACATGGAGGAAGATGAGGGAGCTCTGCTGTTTGGTGAACAAGTGCCTTCTGCAGTTTTTCTATCTGTTTGCCAAGAATGGCTATATCAGCTTCAACATCTGCCAAATCAGCTCCCATCACATCCAATTCATTGTGAGATATTGGAGGAGACTTGCCACCGATTCGCTTCAGCCTGTGCTTAATGACTTCGGCCACCATGTGCACAGTTGCCTTTGCAGTGACATGTTCTATGTAGTCCTTGTAAAAGGCCGATTTCATAACACGATCCATGCTGAAAAGAGAAACAAAATCACATACACACAACATTAGCAAGCAAAGCAAATCAAATCATCAATGGGTGTCGGTTCTAAACCTAACAGACATCACATACACAACATTAGCAAGCAAATAAAATCATCCACAGGTGTCGGTTCTAAACCTAACAGACATGGCAAAAAGCAGGAGGAGCAATTACCAGTTGATGAGGGATGGAGGGATGGGAGGAGTCCAAAAGCTGTCGGTCCCATCATACCTGCCTTGCAACTCCTCGTGCCTTGGAATCGGAATCGGCCAGCAGGAATACCTTGGCTGGAACACGCGAAGGCGATTGCAATCAAGCACACTTTCTAATTTAGCAAACAACTCTAACTCTTCCCTTCTCAAATCGAAGCACAATATAGCATACTTATTATCACCCGCAGCAGAGTGAAAGAAAACAATTTCGGGATCGTGTGGATGCAGGCAAAAATAAGAATCCTCAACTTTTTACTCTGACGCCGATGTCTTGTTAACAAGCCCCTCACGGAGTTTCCTCCAAGATTTACCATCGTCTTCCAGTCTCCAGACGCTGCAACGAATAGCTGCCGATTCATTTTCTAGTGCAATTACATGCAGCGCACTTTGCGCGCTGGAAATAATCCACCCATCCGGCGGAAATGCAGGATGAGTATCGATACAAGTGGGAGGCGTATCAAGGCAGAAAGGATTAAACCTAGCCACCGAAATGTTGAACCTGTTATCACAATACATCCAAAACAACTCGTCATTGCACGAAATGAGACTTCTTGGTGCAGGTCTAAATTGACGACCAGCACAGACAAGAGCCTCCTCAGACCATTCTCCAGACTCGGAACAGAACACATCTAGTTTTAAGCCCGAGTTTTCATACAAACACGCCACTCGGAAGCGGCGATACTCGGAATAAACAAACGCTTGGCCATCTCCTAGATCAAGCTTATTAGAGATATGAGGTTCACAAACTAACTTCGCCTCTGTCTTGAACCTCCTCGACACGGGCGCTAAAGGAAGAGCAATCCACTGCTTCGTAAACGGATTGCAGACCAAGTAAGATCTGCTACGTTCCCTTACCTGGTAGGGATCCACATCCCAAAATCCGCATAGAACCAAGTCCTGGTTGCAGTCCAAAACTGTAATAGTGTCTGACACTTGCTTAGGCATGGGAGGAAGAAAGTTGCGGATGATCAAGTGCAGCTCGTATGGATCGCTCGGCATGGGTGGGTGGTTCAACTGGTTCGTGATCTGGTGGTAAGAAACGAAATTACGGTTGAAGCGAGGATTGGAGATCAGGGAGCTCCACAGCTTGCAGACCAGCTTGCCCCGGCAGGCGGATCTAGGATTTGGGAGGCCGCGGATCAGAATTTCAACGAGGAGATCCTCCCCGAGTCTGTTGATCGTCATGGGTGCTTCTGAACTGATTCGTAGTCGTGTTCGGAAACGGTGCGACTGATCTAAAACAGAGATGTAGTTCTCCATTGGCATGGCCTACGCAGACGGATCGAAGGAGTATGACGCCGGCCGTCTGGGTACAAGGAGAAAGTGTTCGATGCCTTCACGAATATACGACGGCGGCGGCTGCTAGGTTAATACGCTTAGGATTAGGAATTCATGGATGGTAATGTGTCTAGGCCTAGGTCTTGTTCGGGCGGGTATTTCAGGTCCGCTTCGTGGCATAAGTCTGAATTTATATTCTGGGCTTGCTCGTCTGGGCCTGCCATATCCACTCAATACGACGGCCCACGTTATCCTAGCTGAGGCGCTTATTTCATGCGCATTCCAGTATTTTCCGACTAGAATCTCGAAACACAAGCGGTTTTGGGTGGTTACCAATGAGTGGTTGTTCGTTGTCTTTTCCTCCAATACCACATCTGGAACGAGGAACACCGACATAGTATAGGTTGTTTGAGCTTGAGCTACCGCTTTTATTAGAATTTCCTTGGCTACATTTGATAAGCTCTGACCCTTCCACAATTTAATCTTTTTCCTTACTTTGTCTACCAATACCCCAAAAACTTACTTCTTTTCCCAACCTATGATAGTTGGCAACCCTAGGTACTTAGTATGTTCCTCGACTTGCTTCATCCCCAGTATTCCTGCCAACCTGACTCTCTGATCAGCTCGCACATTCAGACTGAAAGTGAGGTCTGATTTCTGTAAGTTTACTTTCTACCCAGATTTCTTCTCGTACATCTTGAGAATACCCATTAACTGCTCACACTATGTTGAGCTAGTTCTAGTAAAGAATATACTATCGTCAGCAAACAGCGGATGGGAAATTATAGGTCCTCGTCTAGACACCTGAAAACCATGCAGCCTACCCTCCTCAATTGCTCTCCTAGTTAGATCTGAAAGCTCTTCCACACAAAGTAAGAACAAGTACGAGGAGATGGGATCTCCTTGTATAAGTCCTCGCTTTGGTTCAAATACCTCTGATTGTTGGCCATTAACGAGGATGGAGAAAGATACTGTAGTTATACAGAACATGATCAAGTTCACCCACCTTCCATCAAACCCCATCCGTAGCATCATAGCTTCCAGATTGCCCCAACTTACTCGATCATAGTCCTTTGAGATATCCAGCTTAGCCGCCATATCCCTATTTTGATCACCTTTTTCGTTTTCATGGTATTAAAATATTCAAAAGCAACCATCACATTATTCGTAATGTACTGCCAGGTACAAACGCACTATGGTTTTCTTCTATCACATTGTTCATGATCCTTTTCAAACTATTAGCCAATACTTTAGACATAATCTTGTACAAAACCTTGCATAGGCTAATCGGTCTATACTCAGCTGGTGTCTCCGGCTTTTTGTCTTTGGGATTAGTGCAACAAGGGTGTGATTTAGCTCTTTTGGAAAAGAGCCACTCTCTAAATACCCAGTAAGCTCCCATGTTACATCCTCCCCCACTATATCCTAATTTTTCTTAAAAAATAGGACAGTCATCCCCTATGCACCAAGAGCTTTCCCAAAACCCATATGTTTTAGCGCATTCCATATTTCTTCAACAGTAAAGGGTAGTAGCAATTAGAGTGTTCATCTCAGCTGTAACCTTTGGCTGAACCACTGAGAGAATAGTATCGGTCTGTATCTCCTCCTCATGGGTGAAAAGTTATTGATAATGAGAGACCATGCAATTTGTGACCTCCTCATGCCCTACAAAAAGCTTCCCTGCAGCATCCTTTAGTTGTTTTATCATGTTTCTCTTCCTTCTTTCTGACGCTTTACGCTGGAAATAACCTGTGTTTTGGTCCCCCTCCTTCAGCCAATCCGGTCGCGATTTATGCCTCCATTTGCTCTCCTCCTGTAGTAGGATCTCGTCCAGCTTCCTATATAATACTTTCCTTTGTGCTTGGACAACTTTGGTCCTAGGCTGTTTCTCCAACCTGGCCTGAACTCATTCAGTTCTCTTTCTTCTCTCTTTTAAAGATCCAAAGGCGTCCTTGCTCCATTTTAGTAGCTTCGTCTCACGGTTTTTCACCTTGTCCATGAGGCTTTCTGGTGATCCAGCCCTCCATCCCTTCTCTACTATTCTTTTACAATCCTCATGTCTCTGCCAATATGACTCATAACGAAAATACCATCCCCAGCTAATGATCTCCTCTTCCGGGTTCAACTGGGGCATGATAGGGATGTGGTCTGATTCGCATCTTGGAAGATGGTACACCCTTGCTAGGGGGTAGTGCTCCATCCACCTCTTGTTTCCTACTACCCTGTCCAGTCTTTCTTCAGTGTAGGCCTCCTCTACTCTATTATTTTCCCAAGTGAAGCAACTTTCATAGAAACCCAAATCCTCAAGATCACAATCTTATGAAGCTCTTCTTAATTCCTCCATCTCCATAACATTTCGGTTACAGCTACCACTCTTTTCGATATAATCCGTAATCAGATTGAAATCCCCCATCAACACCCACGGTTTGTCCACCTGATTATGCAACCATCTCAGCAGCTCACAAGTTTTGAGTTTATTGCTTCCTTCAGACCATCCATAAACCCTAGCTAACCTCCATATTTCTTGTTGATTCTCGATGCACACTTCAAAATCCATATAGTTACTGGATCTTCCTTTTAGCTTCAGTTCCACTCCTTGTTTCCATAGCATCAATAGGCCACCAACTCTGTTTCTTCTTGCCGCCACCCCTTTTCCACCTTCATAGCCAAACTCTTTCTATTTTTCTTCCCATTCTCCATCATGGAGGTGAGTCTCCATCAGAAAAACGATATCGGAGTTCTTTTGACGCAGTAACGCCTTTACTTTTCCAACTGCCAGGGCATTCCCCAATCCCTGGCAGTTGTACCTCAGGAGATTCAGCGGCGGATCCAGAACATAGAGAAGCACTGGGCCGCATTTCATTAGAAAATTAGAACCGTAAAAAAATAATGATTATAGTTTTTTTGCAATTTAAATTGTATTCGGTAGTATTTTAATTAAGAGAATGCATCAATAATGGAGTTTACAGAGCAATCGACGAGAAATTCATCGCTCATTTTGTTGAGAAAATCAGTTCTCGCATGTTTTATTGTTGAAAAGGTTCTCTTCGTAGTAGTTGTTGAAACGAGCAACATCAACACTAGACAAATCAATCGACTAATCAATTTGCATTGTGTGTCTATCCCTGCATCCACCAGCTGCTCTAGTAAATTTTTAAGGGAACAAACCTCATATTTCTCTTAGTATTTTTCATTTTAAACTTTTAGAATTTTAGGTTTCATTATTTTTTTAGACGCATAATCTTTGGGGTTGAAATTTATAGGCTAAATTTAGAGTAGTGATTTGAATATGTTCATCTGAATCATTTTTCTAGTTATACCCAATCTTATTATAAAATAACACTGGACCGAATGCCTAAAATCAAAAAATTCATAACGACTATACTAACTACGGGTCCAGAGAAGGGCTGGGTCGGGGTCTGGGGTGGCCTCCCCCTGGATCCGCCACTGAGGAGATTCATTGGGTTGGGCGGCCCTGAACATTTTCAGGGTCCGCCACTCCGCTAACCAATGTGTTTTTGTTCAGTTCCTCTTCTGCTGTTCTGCTTTCCTGTTTTCCTTTTTGCCCTGCACTAGCCTCTACCTCCACCTTCCTCATCGAGGCAGTGTCGTCCACTTTCCCACCCAGCTCCAGGGTTCGGGCCCTTTTCTGGCTCATCTCTCCATTGTTTTTCTTGGACACCACCCTTTGGATTTCCGCTCCTGCTCTTTTCTGTGGTGTGAATTGTGTTCCTGTCTTCACACGTTATGAATTCTCTTCCTAACGCCTCCACACCCTCCCTGTTGGTTTTCTCCCCGGTTGAGTTCTGGAGCTTCCTATCACAAATCTCTTAAGGGCTTCCTCCTGTATGTTGAGATTTGTTTGTAAATGACCACTCTGGGTCCTCTACTCTCTAGTTGCTTGCTTCACCTCTACTTGTTTGTCCACCTCCATACTGTTCTCATTCTCCCTGCTCATTTGTGTTTCCTTATCTCCTTCTTTCTTCTTCCCAATCTCCTCCATCTTAGCCTCCTCCTTTTCTTCAGGTGAAGCCTTATCATAATCCAAGTTAGAGCTACTGCTCTCCACTTCGAATTTCCTCCTTAGTCTCCTCCCTTTCCTTGAAACACGTGAAGCCAACTTCTATGTCCTAGCCCATCAGTTCGCATCTCCATCCCATATGGGTCTATTGCTAATTGCGATGGCTTCTCACATTTGAGCTTCGGGTGCCCTATTCTTCCAGAGGAGTAACAAAATAGGGGTAGTTTCTCGTACTTGATTTGATATTCCTCAAGTTTGCCTTGTATGTTAAGCTTAATCTTCTTCTTGAGAGGGTTATTTATCGATAGACTAACCCTAATTCTCATGTGTCCATCCCACGGGTAGCCTGTGTCGTCAAATCAGACTAGCTCACCCAATCTCGAAGCAATTTTACCCGCCATCTGTGGAGTCCGCAACTCCCCTAGGAAACCCCTTATATGGACCCAGATATCAATCATATGTAAGTCTCGTGGGTTTGGTTTCGGGATATGTAGACACTCCTTGAACACTAGAATGTTGTTCTCGTAATGCCATGACCCTCCAAAGCTTATCTTATTCTTGTCATCCATGTCAAGAAATTGAAATGCAAATAGGTTGTCTTTCAAATCTGTGATTTGGAACCCTTTACGTAGGTTCCACGCCTTCTCTAATGCAATCTTCATCGATTTCAGGTTTGGATGCTTGTCAAACACCAAACGGCTTATTAACTCTAGCTTCCTGACTGCCTCCATTCTCACAACATCCACGTTAGAGTCTTCAACCTCCAATGGTGGCTCGTCGTCTTCAGCTAATTTGATCTTGTCCAGATGCTCCTCCAGGCTCGGAGGATGTTTTGATAGATCCTCCGATTCGCCCTACACCGTATTGTTTGCTTCTATGATCTCGTCATTGTCCATTGTTCCCAAAGTATTGCTTTAAAACTTCCCTTGCAAACAGGTTGTTGCTTGTTTAACAAGCCCTTCCCCCTTTTCAGCTTCTGTCTTTCGAAACCTCTCTCTGATCGAGAAAACTCCTTGTTAGGATTCTGACACAATCCAACACTAAGAAGGAAGTCTAATCCTTGCTCGACTCGTCCTCCTAAACTTTTTCCTAGTTGCAAATCGAACAGTAATCTGGAAGAACCCTAGGGTTTCCGCCGCCTCCAAATCTCTCGCTCAACGAGAGAGAAAAGTAGGATGATACTACACCTGCATATAATAATAGTTACTTCTATTTATATCAGTATTAATATAATTCCAGAGTAAATTGAATTATTGGTAATCATCGGATGTGATTTTTTGGTTTTAGTTATTTTAGTTTATTATTTTAATAATATGAAAAATATTAAAAGAATTAAATTTATTTTTGGGTAATGTCTATTTTTTATCCAAACCTTTTTTTAGATTCTTTTATATTATCCAAACCTATCGGAATACTAAAAATTAGTCAAATGTTAACTTCCAATTAGCAATTTTGTTAGTAATATTGACTTGGCAACATGATATTGACTTGGAAGAGACTCATGAAGATCAACATTCCAAAATTTTAGTATTTTAACTAAGAAAAGAGTTACAAAATTGTTAACGATAATGTAAAAATGGCTAATATTTTGATACATTACGAAGATTTGGATAATTAATAGAATTTTAATAGGTTTGGATAATATAAAAGAATCTGAGAAAAGATTTGGATAAAAAATAAACATTATTAATTTTTTAATTGCCACGTCAGACATTTAGCGGTCAACTGTTAGGGTTGACGGCCACATCAGATAAAGTTAACAAAGAATGACTAAATATGAGTTGTTTTACTAATTCGAGTGACCAAAATTAATATTATATTTTTTCCAATAACTAAATATGACACATTTTAGTAAATTATTGATCAAACTTGACATTTACCCTTTCTAAAATAGACTGAGTTCTCACTTTAGTTCAGTCGCCTACAATGTGCAAACCCTAAAAGAAAAATCTTCATACCCCAAGATGGAGCTCGTATCAACTCCCGATCCATCATCCTCCTGTCACCGACTTGCTCATTAGAGAAATCGATTTACCAGTGAGTCCTTTCTTGCCGCAACTTCAGCTCCTTTCTTCGAAGGCTTCCGTGAATCGCCCAACCCCTCGACAAAATTGAACCACCTGAGCTCCATTCTCTTCTTCAATGTCGGCGGTTCCAGCAAGCCTCTCCCTGTAAAAGTTCATTGAATCGGAGCCATCCCTTCCCTTGCTGTTTCCCCTCGTTCTTTCTCCATTTAGCTCATTGCACCTTGCTCATTTTCGGCTTCACATCATCGACCGTCTTGCGGCGGGTGCGAAAGAGGTGGGTAATTGCTGTCTAATTACGGAGAGCTATTGATCTCTTCCTTATCGTGGGTGCTCTTATCTTACCTTTTGTTTTCGTCGATTTCAGCCTGTCTCTACCAAAGTTCCATGAACCAGTGCCGACCCTTCCCTTTGTGTTTCCCCTGCTTCATTATCGGTTAGCTCCAACACAGCTTGCTCATCGTGGTGGTGGATATCATTCGACAGTCTGGTGGCAGGTGAGTGTTGCTTTTTCAGAGAGCAACTACTGATTTCTTTCTTATTGTGTGTCCTGAAGTTTTCTTGTTCTATTTCGTTGGGCTGCAAGGAAATGACTGGTTTTATTTCTAATTGTAATTTTGATGTTACAATAGTTAGTTTTACTTGGAGCAATCTGAAAAGAAAGATTTGTATGCCTAAGGGGTAGGGTTTAGAGGACTTGGTTATAAGTGTGATGAAGTAAATGCTCCTTTGTGGAGCTGGTTACTGTCTAGAAACTCGTTGCCGCTGTAGAGGAGTTGTTTTGTGAAGCTTTGCATGTGTTGGTGAATGGATGATGTGTATATTTTTACCTAGGAGTCGTTTGGTTGTGGAAATCTAAAAAGCAAGGAATTGGCCTTAATTCCCACGTTAGAAGAAACTGGGAATTGGCAAATGATAATTGACCAAAATTCCATGTTTGGATAGAGCTATGAGGGTGTAGGAATTGACCAAAACTACCAAAATGTCTTCATTAGTGGGAGATCAGCAGGGGTTTGGTACTTTACTGGAGCTTGGAAAATTGAGCTTGGTTTGAGGAAAATTTAATCCTGGCTCTGTCTTGTTGCGGTGGAATGAATGCTAGCACTGTTCCCTAGAATCTCTTTTATGAATTCCAATCTGAGTGTTAGCAACAAGAAAAAGCACCAGTTTGGGCACAGCCATGGAATGAGATTTTCTTGATTTCTTATCTTTTTTTGTCTGTGTGCTAAACAAATCGAAACCCTCATATATGTAGAAGGATTAGACTAGTCATGTCATTTCAATGGTCACGTGTATTTGACTTGATGTTTGTAAAGGCTGGATGGATATATGTTTCTTGTTCTGATGATTTTGAAGTACCTGTTTGGCACTTTGTAAAAGCAACGACAAAGAAATAGACAAGAGACATCTGGCCAATGGCTGCTTTGGTAAACTGAATGTAGCAAGAGTGAATGAATATACAAATGTTAGCCTTTCTTGTTTGATGATTCTGAAGTACTACTATAACATGGCTTCGGGATCTATGCTAATCTACGTGTATGCATTAGTATCTATGGCGGAAGCAGTCTTTAAATAAGTTGTGAATTCTGCCTTGCAATCTCTAGTTTGATGATTCTGAAGTACTACTATAACATGCCTTCGGGATCTATGCTAATCTACGTGTATGCATTAATATCTATGGCGGAAGCAGTCTTTAAATAAGTTATGAATTCTGCCTTGCAATCTCTAGTTTGATTTGCTTGATGTCCGGCCTTTCTATACTGATTTTTCAACTCCCTTCACTTCATAAGTTTCAGACTTGCAGTAATTAAGAAGCTTTGTTCGATTCTATACTTATTGTTGGTAGTGCCTTAGATTGTTAGTCCTTTCTTTTGCAGTTTTGCTTTATTGAAACACTCTAATATGTCTTCAGCAGACCAGGTGATCATTTTGTACTCCCCTGCACTATCTGTGTTTCCCGAGTCACTGTCTTCTTCTTCCCGACCCGAGATCAGCTTCAATGGCGTGCTCAAGTAAGTTCTTTACTCCTTTACTTTCGATTTTTGTATTGCAACAATCATCTCATATCATCCGTCTTTTTTCGTGTATCAGTCACTGGCGAGGAACTTGCTGAGGCCGTAGCAAACCGTAAAAACGGATTGCTTTATGAGAAGAGTGTGATTGAGAAATACATCAGCGTAGGTTTTCTTTATCCTTCTCCTCACTATTTCCTTTATTAGATGGATAGGGTTATCGCCTCCTTCTCGTTTTTGTTTGCCTTTGAGATACCCTTTCTTTTTTGTCTGCCTTATGTAGCTAGGTTTCATTGAAGTTTTGCCTGACTTTGAGAGAATCCATTATTGGCTAGTTTTTGCTACCTTTTTACTTCTTGGGATCATAAATTACAAAGAACTGTTCTGTTGTTAAGAAAAGTGTTCATTGAGACTCTTCTCTGTTCTTCCATTTATTGTTTATATTCTTATTTGTCCAGGACAATGGAGTTTGTCCTGTTCCCAGTACACCAGTTACAGCTGAAGATCTAGTACCATTAGGAATGGGCAAGGTATGTGAGGAGAATTGACAATTTTGTTTGTTTATTTTTACTGCCTTTTCACCAAGTTTGATTGCTGATGTTGAATTTTCATTTTGCGGATAAAGGTGCAGGCTAAGCTACCCCACCTGGATCCGCGGTTGGCAGATCCGGCTGTCTATCAAGTCTTAAAAGAATTGCTTTCAGATTACACTACTAAGCAGTTCTTGGAACTTCAGATGTCTATTCATCTGCATAAGCTTCTGGGAAGTATTCTTGAGTGAAAGTTGGCTGTGGCTGGGCTGGGTAGCAGTTATTCTAGCATGTCGGTCTTGCATGATCCATCGGCTATATTGCAGGATGCCTTCGAATATGTTAAAACAAGTTTAAAGCCACTGGAGCAGCTTGCAAAAGCTATCGAAGGGCATCAGGTTAAAATGTTTTCTCTGTTTCGCTTTACATTTGACGGCGGAGTTATTACCGGTGATATTCAAGAGCCATTGAGCAATCGGGGAAAAAGCAGGCTAGTAGAAACCAGTCTCAAACAAATAATGAAGAGTCTAGGCCACAGTCATTGGAATAGAGGCTTAGCCGTAGCGCTCCCCGGGCAGAAAAAGTTTTTTGGACAGATAAAATGACCGAGGATCTACTTAATAGAATGGAGAAGGTAACAGATATTTCGAAAGGGTGGCCATGGAAGGACTTGATTTTTGATGGGCTGCGCAATACTCAACTAAATTGGAGGTGGAAACACCTGAAACGTTCCCCCAAAGGAAAGTATGCTCAGAGAGTTGCAGCTTTGGTTCGAAAGGAAGTCCAGGGGGCTGTTTCGTCGGAGTTGCAGCAGCCCTGGAGCTTGACGACGAACCAGCAAAGGAAGAAGAAGTCACCTAAACGGGCATTAAGGAGTTCCATAATTGGACTCGCTATGGGACTCCTTAATGCCCGTTTAGGTGACAACTTCTTTCTTTGCTGGTTCGTCGTCAAGCTCAATGGTATCTGCAACTCCGACGAAACAGCCCCATGTACTTCCTTTCGAACCAAAGCTGCAACTCTCTCAGCATACTTTCCTTTGGGGGAACGTTTCAGGTGTTTCCATTTTCAATTTAGTTGAGTATTGCGCAGCCCATCAAAAATCAAGTCCTTCCATGGCCACCCTTTCGAAATATCTGTTACCTTCTCCATTCTATTAAGTAGATCTTCGGTCATTTTATCTGTCCAAGAAACTTTTTCTGCGCAAGGGTGGCAGATATTTCGAAAGGGTGAGCATGGAAGGACTTGATTTTTGATGGGCTGCGCAATACTCAACTAAATTGGGTGGAAACACCTGAAACGTTCCCCCAAAGGAAAGTATGCTGAGAGAGTTGCAGCTTTGGTTCGAAAGGAAGTACAGGGGGCTGTTTCGTCGGAGTTGCAGCAGCACTTGAGCTTGACGACGAACCAGCAAAGGAAGAAGTTGTCACCTAAACGGGCATTAAGGAGTCCCATAGCCTCGCATCAACAACGTTCAGGAACAACGCTTGTTATACGATAGCAGTTTGAAAAACACTGCAATATCACGTTCAGGAAGCAGGAGTTCCCTAAGTTGGCGAGTCCAACTATGAGACTTCTTAATATCCGTTTAGGTGACAACTTCTTCCTTTGCTGGTTCGTCGTCAAGCTCAAGGGCAGCTGCAACTCCGACGAAACAGCCCCCTGTACTTCCTTTCGAACCAAAGCTGCAACTCTCTCAGCATACTTTCCTTTGGGGGAACGTTTCAGGTGTTTCCACCCAATTTAGTTGAGTATTGCGCAGCCCATCAAAAATCAAGTCCTTCCATGCTCACCCTTTCGAAATATCTGCCACCCTTGCGCAGAAAAAGTTTCTTGGACAGATAAAATGACCGAAGATCTACTTAATAGAATGGAGAAGGTAACAGATATTTCGAAAGGGTGGCCATGGAAGGACTTGATTTTTGATGGGCTGCGCAATACTCAACTAAATTGGGTGGAAACACCTGAAACGTTCCCCCAAAGGAAAGTATGCTGAGAGAGTTGCAGCTTTGGTTCGAAAGGAAGTACAGGGGGCTGTTTCGTCGGAGTTGCAGCAGCACTTGAGCTTGACGACGAACCAGCAAAGGAAGAAGTTGTCACCTAAACGGGCATTAAGGAGTCCCATAGCCTCGCATCAACAACGTTCAGGAACAACGCTTGTTATACGATAGCAGTTTGAAAAACACTGCAATATCACGTTCAGGAAGCAGGAGTTCCCTAAGTTGGCGAGTCCAACTATGAGACTTCTTAATATCCGTTTAGGTGACAACTTCTTCCTTTGCTGGTTCGTCGTCAAGCTCAAGTGCTGCTGCAACTCCGACGAAACAGCCCCCTGTACTTCCTTTCGAACCAAAGCTGCAACTCTCTCAGCATACTTTCCTTTGGGGGAACGTTTCAGGTGTTTCCACCCAATTTAGTTGAGTATTGCGCAGCCCATCAAAAATCAAGTCCTTCCATGCTCACCCTTTCGAAATATCTGCCACCCTTGCGCAGAAAAAGTTTCTTGGACAGATAAAATGACCGAAGATCTACTTAATAGAATGGAGAAGGTAACAGATATTTCGAAAGGGTGGCCATGGAAGGACTTGATTTTTGATGGGCTGCGCAATACTCAACTAAATTGGAGGTGGAAACACCTGAAACGTTCCCCCAAAGAAGTATGCTGAGATGAGTTGCAGCTTTGGTTCGAAAGGAAGTACAGGAGGCTGTTTCGTCGGAGTTGTAGCAGCTCTTGAGCTTGACGACGAACCAGCAAAAGAAGAAGTTGTCACCTAAACGGGCATTAAGGAGTTCCATAGTTGGACTCGCTATGGGACTCCTTAATGCCCGTTTAGGTGACAACTTCTTTCTTTGCTGGTTCGTCGTCAAGCTCAAGGGCTGTTGCAACTCCGACGAAACAGCCCCCTGTACTTCCTTTCGAATCAAAGCTGCAACTCTCTCAGCATACTTTCCTTTGGGGGAACGTTTCAGGTGTTTCCATTTCCAATTTAGTTGAGTATTGCGCAGCCCATCAAAAATCAAGTCCTTCCATGGCCACCCTTTCGAAATATCTGTTACCTTCTCCATTCTATTAAGTAGATCTTCGGTCATTTTATCTATCCAAGAAACTTTTTCTGCCCGGAGAGCGCTACGGCTAAGCCTCTCTTCCACAGCCTCTCTACATTGGAAGAGAGGCTTAGCCGTAGCGCTCCCCGGGCAGAAAAAGTTTCTTGGACAGATAAAATGACCGAAGATCTACTTAATAGAATGGAGAAGGTAACAGATATTTCGAAAGGGTGGCCATGTAAGGACTTGATTTTTGATGGGCTGCGCAATACTCAACTAAATTGGAGGTGGAAACACCTGAAACGTTCCCCCAAAGAAGTATGCTGAGATGAGTTGCAGCTTTGGTTCGAAAGGAAGTACAGGAGGCTGTTTCGTCGGAGTTATAGCAGCTCTTGAGCTTGACGACGAACCAGCAAAAGAAGAAGTTGTCACCTAAACGGGCATTAAGGAGTTCCATAGTTGGACAACTATGGAACTCCTTAATGCCCGTTTAGGTGACAACTTCTTCTTTTGCTGGTTCGTCGTCAAGCTCAAGGGCTGCTGCAACTCCGACGAAACAGCCCCCTGTACTTCCTTTCGAACCAAAGCTGCAACTCTCTCAGCATACTTTTCTTTGGGGGAACGTTTCAGGTGTTTCCATTTCCAATTTAGTTGAGTATTGAGCAGCCCATCAAAAATCAAGTCCTTCCATGGCCACCCTTTCGAAATATTTGTTACCTTCTCCATTCTATTAAGTAGATCTTCGGTCATTTTATCTGTCCAAGAAACTTTTTCTGCCCGGGGAGTGCTACGACTAAGTCTCTCTTCCAATGTAGAGAGGCTGTGGAAGAGAGGCTTAGCCGTAGCGCTCTCCGGGCAGAAAAAGTTTTTTGGACAGATAAAATGACGAAGATCTACTTAATAGAATGGAGGAGGTAACAGATATTTCGAAAGGGTGGTCATGGAAGGACTTGATTTTTGATGGGCTGCGCAATACTCAACTAAATTGGAGGTGGAAACACCTGAAACGTTCCCCCAAAGGAAAGTATGCTGAGAGAGTTGCAGCTTTGGTTCAAAAGGAAGTATAGTGGGCTGTTTCGTCGGTGTTGCAGCAGCCCTTGAGCTTGACGACGAACCAGTAAAAGAAGAAGTTGTCACCTAAACGGGCATTAAGGAGTTCCATAGTTGGACTCGCTATGGGACTCCTTAATGCCCGTTTAAGTGACAACTTCTTTCTTTGCTGGTTCGTCGTCAAGCTCAAGGGCTGCTGCAACTCCGACGAAACAGCCCCCTGTACTTCCTTTCGAACCAAAGCTGCAACTCTCTCAGCATACTTTCCTTTGGGGGAACGTTTCAGGTGTTTCCATTTCCAATTTAATTGAGTATTGCGCAGCCCATCAAAAATCAAGTCCTTCCATGGTCACCCTTTCGAAATATTTGTTACCTTCTCCATTCTATTAAGTAGATCTTCGGTCATTTTATTTGTCCAAGAAACTTTTTCTGCCTGGGGAGCGCTACGGCTAAGCCTCTCTTCCAATGTAGAGAGGTTGTGGAAGAGAGGCTTAGCGGTAGCGTTCCCCTGGCAGAAAAAGTTTCTTGGACAGATAAAATGACCGAAGATCTACTTAATAGAATGGAGAAGGTAACATATATTTCGAAAGGGTGGCCATGGAAGGACTTGATTTTTGATGGGCTGCGCAATACTCAACTAAATTGGAGGTGGAAACACCTGAAACGTTCCCCCAAAGGAAAGTATGCTGAGAGAGTTGCAGCTTTGGTTCGAAAGAAAGTATAAGGGGTTGTTTCGTCGGAGTTGCAGCAGCCCTTGAGCTAGACGACGAACCAGCAAAGGAAGAAGTTGTCACCTAAACGGGCATTAAGGAGTTCCATAGTTGGACTCGCTATGGGACTCCTTAATGCCCGTTTAGGTGACAACTTCTTTCTTTGCTGGTTCGTCGTCAAGCTCAAGGGCTGCTGCAACTCCGACGAAACAGCCCCCTGTACTTCCTTTCGAACCAAAGCTGCAACTCTTTCAGCATACTTTCCTTTGGGGGAACGTTTCAGGTGTTTCCATTTCCAATTTAGTTGAGTATTGCGCAGCCCATCAAAAATCAAGTCCTTTCATGACCACCCTTTCGAAATATCTGTTACCTTCTCCATTCTATTAAGTAGATCTTCGGTCATTTTATTTGTCCAAGAAACTTTTTCTGCCCGGGGAGCGCTACGGCTAAGCCTCTCTTCCAATGTAGAGAGGTTGTGGAAGAGAGGCTTAGCTGTAGCGCTCCCCGGGCAGAAAAAGTTTCTTGGACAAATAAAATGACCGAAGATCTACTTAATAGAATGGAGAAGGTAACAGATATTTCGAAAGGGTGGTCATGAAAGGACTTGATTTTTGATGGGCTGCGCAATACTCAACTAAATTGGAAGTGGAAACACCTGAAACGTTCCCCCAAAGGAAAGTATGCTGAGAGAGTTGCAGCTTTGGTTCGAAATGAAGTACAGGGGGCTGTTTCGTCGGAGTTGCAGCAGCCCTTGAGCTTGACGACGAACCAGCAAAGGAAGAAGTTGTCACCTAAACGGGCATTAAGGAGTCTCATAGTTGGACTCGCCAACTTAGGGAACTCCTGCTTCCTGAACGTGATATTGCAGTGTTTTTCAAACTGCTATCGTATAACAAGCGTTGTTGATGATATGCATTGCATAGGAGGATGTGGTGATGATGCGTGTCTGGTTAAGGGACTACAGAGTCATTTTCGAGATTGCAAGGGTTCTTCTGGAGCTGCTATACGTCCTCGGTGGTTTTTTGAAAAACTTGATGGTATCCTTTTGCTTATTTCTTATTTCTATTATGATGAATTCTATGTTCTACTTCTATATGTTGCTTGTTTGCTCATTTAACTCCTGTTATAATAGATATCTTTAAAGCTTCCGGTAAAGTCGGGACGCAACAAGATGTTGAAGAGTTTTTTCTCTGTTTGTTGGAGAGACTTTTGGTGTGCAACCCTGATGTAAGGGATAAATTTTCCAGGGTGTTTGGATGAGCAAGGTAGGAACCAAAGATTATTTGTTCCCTCTTTACAATTTTGCATTCAATTTGGCTTTTTGATTGTTTTGTCTTTGTTTATGCAGGTGGAATGTTCAAACTGTCATCACAAGTCGTCTCAAGAAGAACATTTTCATCACATCAGTTTAGGAGCTGCCGAGTCCCTACAAAGCTTCTTCGATGGTGGAAATGTTGCGGATTATAGATGTGAACAGTGTCAAATGGTTGGAGTCACATCCAAGGAGGTTCGTCTCCAAGTTGCACCCACAATTGCAATCTTGCAATTCAAAATTTTTGAGAAGGAAGAAGGCTGTCGCTCCAAGAAGATTCCACATTACGGAAGCTTTCAAACTGTGATGGACTTGACTCCTCATTCTACAAACAAGACGGTAAGAAAATTCTATTTAATACAAACTAAATGTTGAATGGTTAAGTGTGCTTGCTGAATGTTTAGTTCTTGTGGTTTTAGGTTCATCTCAAATACAACCTTTATGGGGTTGTTGTCCACCTTGGTGAAACTCTTGAAGGTGGTCATTACATATGTTTCATCAAATCCATGGGCAAATGGCACCAGATCAGTGACCAACTGGTAAAAAATATAGATTCAATCATGTAGGATAGAACAATATATGTGGTATATATTAATTCAATTTGTACCATTTCTTTGTAGGTGGAGGAGACTGATGAGGAAGTGGTGTTGGAGCAAGCAGCATATATTCTGTTCTATGAGAGAGATGATAGGGAGTAATGAGGAGAGTAATGAGTATTAGGTTGACATTGGCTTTTTGTTTCGTTGAATAGTGGAGTGGGGTTCTAGTGCCCACAAAATACGAACATGAATCTTTGAGCAGTACAAATCAGAATACAAAGAGTTGTAGTTGTTGCGGACAATGTCATTACCGGTAAATTGGTCACTGGGTTTACTACAAACGTTCATGTTTGATCACTACAAATATTTAATTCAACTCGTGGTCATTAAGATTAGTTCAATAGTTCATGCATGGTCACTCTTCGTTAGAGATGACAACAAAATTCGAATCTACGGGTATCATACCCAACCCGATCAACGCGGGTAAAATCTGCGTTGATGGGTTTCGAGTTGGGTTCGGGTTTAAACCCATATACTATTCATCGAGTTGGGTTGGGTTTGAGTTTAGGGATACTCGATCCATGGATACCCGTCCACACTCGTCGCCCTACTCTCCCCAAACCCTACCCTAATTCTAATTTCCCACAATCTAACTCTCGCTTCACTTATTCTGTGTGCTTTTATTGAGTGTAATTGTGATTTGTTTGAATTTTCAAGAGTGGTGTTTTATATATGAATAATTTGTATGGGAAAATTGATGTTGGAATTTTATTTTTATAGGAACTTGTTATTGTAAATTTTTTACCACAAAAACCCATGGGTATCCATGAACCCATGGATACCCAGCGAGTTGGGTAGGGTTTGATTTTTTCAAATCCAGTGGGTTTTCCCTTTTTTTTTTACGGATAAACTCATGGGTTTGGGTTTGGCAAAACCCGACCCATCCCGATTCATTGTCATCCTTACTCTCCGTTAGTCTCCGTTAATTTTTGTTGATTTTGCAATCAACCTTCATAGTTGATCGTTAAATGAGTGACGTGGCTATTAAAAAATTAATAAAAAAATTAAATTTAATCTATCATAATTTCCACTTCATTACACATTCACTACAAAATAAATTAAAACCCTAATTTTTTCTATTTGGTTGTTCCCTTTTTTGGTCCCCTTTCTATTCCCCAACTCCTCATCTCAAACTCCCCTTCGACAAAACCCAATTGAGAGAAAGGAGAAGAAAGCCCGAAAAAGTAGGGGTGTTCAAATGGTTACCATGGTTATAACCAAACCAAATAAGGCTAAATTCCATTAACCATGGAATACAATATCATAACCAAACCATCCAAACTAATATAACAACCAAATTTACCAAACTAAAGTTTAATCGGTTTGATTAATTGGTTAACCAGATTAACCAATATAAAATCACATTATCATTGACGATGAAAATTTTCCGGTTAATGCAACAATTCGCAATTTATATAATGAATAAAACATAACAACCAACACGTAGTTATAGTTGACCCTTAACAAAAATACATGCAACTAAGACAATTATCTTACTATTATTATAGAAGTATTCACCTAACAAAAATTTATGACAATGGTATGTTAATGAATTGTTGTGTTTGTGTAAATTGACTTAGTCTCTTAGCAATTATCATAGGCTGGAAATAACCTTCCTTTCAAGTTTTGTCCCCTTTCTATTCCCCAACTCCTCATCTGAAACTCCCCTTCGACAAAACCCAATTGAGAGAAAGGAGAAGAAAGCCCCAAAAAGTCCACCCTACCCCCATCTATTCTCCTTGCGCTTCCTCTAGACTCGTTTGTTCCATCCACTAATTCATCCATTAATTGCTTCTTCAACATGATAGTTGACTCCGTCAACAATCTGAGCACCTCCGCCACTACCCGCCTTTTCTTCCCTTGCTCTTCTTCCCCCACAATTGAATGGAGAATATAGGGAGAGCTCCTCTCTCACACTATTGTCTAATATAGCGTTTTCTTAATAAAGGTTCCTATACACTAACCCCTTAATGAGTGAACCATAGGTCCTAATTATCTAAATCATAAACTATAAACCCTCATATGGTGCATTGATTTTTTTGCCTATATTTGGATGAATCATAACCGTCGATTATTGTTTATAATTAAATTGATCTTGGGGTATAATATTTAGAGAATTAAGACCTAGATTTTGATCTTTAAGGGTTAGAGTATAGTATCATGTCCTAAAGATCAGTCAATTCAAGTTCTGGATAGCGTTTTCTTACTCAAGGTATGCGGTACCCCTGATTTCACCCTGGGTACCGTAGAACTCCCCATATATATATATATATATATATATATATATATATATATATATATATGGTGACTTCTACGGTGCCCAGGGCAAAACTCGGGGTACGGGTACCTTGGCCGATCTTAACCATTCATTCTCAATCTCCACGGCTCACGTTTGTTGAACCTAACTGCGCCACTAAATAACTAAACAAATTACAAAAAGCCTCCTTACGCGTTAAGATTGTTTTCATCCTAGTCCAACTAACCGCCCCGATTAAATTAAATGGATTAAGACTGCAAACCCAATTGGGTAGACCCACTGCCGCCCTAACCAATTTCCAGTCTCCCTAACCAATTACACGATCCCTCTCTCGTCTTAGAGGGATGCCCCTTCATAGTTCCAAGAAAAGCTCCCCATCCAATTTGAACTCCCCAACTTAATCATCTTTTTGAATCCCAATTACTTGCATCCACATTCGACGTAGTTTGAATTACCGATTTATTTTGTCTTGTTTGTTCTTCGCCATTTTATTTCCCCTTGCCCATCTCTTTCTAACACGATTACGGTGACCATGTCTATTATTGTGTTCATCAAACTTTTCATTTTGCTAACCCTAGGGTTCATGTCGCTAGTGCTTTGTCATCTTGTCTTACCGTTATTGTCATTTTCTCGAAACTTCTATCACTCAGTGAAATTAAGGTTTCCTGATATGCAGTGTTCGTCTCGTCCAGAGGATTGAGGAAGGAGATGAAGAAGACAGAATTTGATTCGAATCGGATGGAGAGGTCTCCTTAATTTGTGTTTATGTATTAACGGTGCGTTTAGGACTAATTCTAGTTGGACTAGGTCTGATCATTGATTTTTGCAGGCTTTTAAATAACATTCAAAAGTGGGCTTGTACATGATCCATGCATATTCAAAAGTGGGCCTGGAACGTGCGAGCCCATTTCATTTCTCTTGTTGTATCAATTTGTGCGCCAACCCTAGTTTAACTAACATGACTTACCCTAGTTTAACCTACACGAGTTACCATCATCATTACATATCTTCCGTAATCTTCTAACTCTTGACATTCCAGACTCAACCCCCCACGATCACTTTTTCTTACACCTACATTCTCTCTCTCTCCTCCATCTTCACCTTCCCCTTGTTCCTTCTTCCTCCAGACTCCATGGCAAAGAAAATTAGATCGTTTGCGGAAATGGGGATACTATCTCTATCAAACGAAGACTGTCAATCCACCGCCAGTCTCGGTGACTATCTTTCGTTTACAAGCAAAACCGCCATTGTCGCCGAGTACGAGTTCATCCACCTAAGTCCTTTCCCTCCAGAAGTGAAGACGTTAAAAAAAAAATCTTGGTTGGGAAAATTTCTTTGTTCTCCAGATTCGAGGAAGCACAAGTTACTGCCCCTATGTCGTGAGGAAGTTCTACCACAATCTATAGCTTTCTGGTCCCTCTGATTCTCATCTCGTGTCGATCTTCCTCGGACATAGAGTCTGCTTTCAACCTCATCAATTTGCTGAGATCCTTGATCTTCCCGCTGGAGGAGACCCTAATGAGAGCAGAAGCGATCTTGGGCGGCTGTACGATTTTGAGTTTGAAGTTGAACTGACGATACTCACGAAGGGGCGCATCCAGGCTTCTTTCCTCCCAAATCCTCTTCGATTCCTCCACTGGTTGATCGTCAACTGCTTCCTTCCAAGGTACTGTGGTCATTCCATTATTCGTAAACTTGACTTGTTTATCCTTGTGCAAGCTCAAAGAGGTGTTCCTGTTAACCTCGCATCTCTAATGTGCCTGAACATGGTCGAAGATGCTCCCAAAGGGGAAAACTGGTATACTGCCTTTCCCTATGCCACCTTCGTCATCACCTTTCTTGAAAGGGTTGGAATGGATCTGAGCGTTTATGTTAAGGAGGACCAGTGCGTTTATTTGCCGGTGTACCGTATAGCCGAATTGACCAATACTTTTGTTGAGAATCGGCATACAGAGCATCAAGAGACCCCTGAGGCCTCCTCAAGCAAACATAATTGGATTACATGAGAGTCGATTGATGCAGGGCGGGGTGGAGCATTGGAGCAGCAAAGGGGCCAACAATGGATGTCTTCTGTTAACAAGTTTACTAAGTCTTTGTTGGGTTTTTTTTCCAGTCTTTTGTCTTTTCCTTTATTCACCAGCACTCAAAACTGTCAAGTACTGAGGGGAGCCAGTACAACATCTGACTAGGAAAGTCTCCTATTTTGATTTTTGAAATGTCCAGACCTTGATTTTTCTATGCATGCAGTATTTTTTGAATTTGCCATGGCTAGGATCCCTAAGACAAGTGACGAGATGCAGTAATGGTCATCTCCAATGGTACAATTTTTGTGACTTGCAAGATGATGTGGCAAGGAGGTGCAATTTCATCTTTAAATTGCTATGATGTGAGAAGCTATTGCAAGGGTGCAAATTTGCATAATGTGCAATTCTTCTTGCAATTCAAATGGATCCGTTGGTGGGCCCTTTTTTTACTCTTTTTTAAAGATTTTAGATGATGGACATGATATATAAATTGTGAAGTTGAGAAGTTGAGAAGTGGTGTTTTCTCAAAATTGTAGAAGTGGAAGTAGGGACTACTTATGAAATTGCAAATGAATTTCATTGGGGGAGATTTTAATCCGCTTTTGTTCTAAGCAGTTCCAATTAGGTCTAAGAATCTGTTACTTATTTCATCTTTAATTTTTAATGGTTTTCAAAAATTATGGTTTTATTTATATTTGGTCACAAGTATAGTGATGATGATAGGCGTGAATAGTATGGATTTTAAATGGCTTGATTATAATGATTTTTCTTATCTATGGTGATTTTTTCCCTTTTTCATCAAGACTCGTGCTTCTTTTATTCCCCCGGTGAATCTATCATGCTTCGTTTATAGTAAAATACCCTTTTAATTATACACAATAAAGAATCCATTAATTATGTAAGCCTTTTTATTGTATTTATTAATACAATGAATTCTCTCACTAAAAGGGGAGTGCATACATCGTTGGTGGAAATTCAAGGAATGGAAGCATATCCATATCCTAGGAACGTTAAATTAATTACCTAAGAATTTTCTATCTGCCTTGTACGAGTTTTCTTCATTAATTCTGCTGATTGGGAGCCAATCAGTTTTACTTTTTGGGTTAACCATACATCAATGCAAATTTAATTAGACGAGGGCAATTGGGAACAAAGTGGAATGATATGATCTCAATTAAACCTCTCTACAAGATACAATGGATTGAAACAGAAGCAACCTCACTCATAAGTTGGAAGCTGGAATTTTGGTCAAGTCCCTTTGCCATTTCGGGTAGCTCACTTTGGAAGCCTGTTCGTCACGCATGGCTCTATGAAAATGAGATTTTATTGATTTGTATTGAACCTGGGATGTTTGTGAACACCTGGAATTACTTGGGAGCTGGAGATCAAGTCCAGAAGGTCCCTTTTCAAGTTGTGCAAAAGTGTAAGTGGAAAGCTGGAAATTGCCACTTGTTGACTAAGGTAGTAGCCAGGTTAAAGCTAGATACTTTGAGACTCGATTCGGAAGGGATGGCTGTCCGAAAAGTCAATATAATTTCCACGAAAAGTCAATATAGTTTCCACGAAAAAACAAAACAAACCAAACCAAAAAACAAATATAGAAAGCTTTCACCAAACCAAACCAAAAATGGTTGTCCATCATCTTGAAAAACAAAACATAACATGGTTGTCCATCATCTTGGAAAAAAAAAGCAAAATCAGGTTGTCCTTGGGCTCTTTGACTGGGTTTCCTTGTGCTCTTCTCTTTCCTTTTTCCTCCTTTCATGGGCTTTCTTGTACTCTTCGACTGCAGCTTCAACTTGAGGTGCAACTGTTCTTGCTTCCGTGAGCACCGTATGCCTTATGTAGTTCATGGGCTCTCGAACAAGGTACAAAGCGATCTGCATCCTCCTCACTTGAGTGCATGGCTATTAACATAAAAAAACATGGTGCTTAACGCATGATTCAAAAATAACAAACAAGTGTGGTTTTCCAATATGCGAACTAGAACTATCTTTACCCAAATATAAGAGGAGTCCCAGCTTGCGTCATACATCCACATGCAGACTCAGACTCCACTGTCAGACCTACATAAAATGAAAGCATTGCATGATAAACAAGTTGATAAGCAGTCGTTTAATATCACACAAAATGGACATACTTACCGATGTAGTTGTTCTTGATCCTTTGAAGGATTTGTGTACGAAAACTCCGCAATCCTTGGTGGCGACAATCCCGGACCTTGTTCACGATAGAGAATCTTCCACGAGGCTTGTATAAATCTCATCTGTAGAAATTAAGAAACGTTTGTATTTAGAAAGAGGTATTTACATTTTTTTGTGTTATAACGGCAGAATGTCACAAATTTTCCATTGTTTGAACAGATTGTAGTCGAAAGGAATTGCGGTCTTCAGTTGGTTGTGGATCCAAGATATGGACTTCTTCCTTGTCCAACTTAATGACAGCCAAATACCAATGGACATTATCTCTCATCGGAACACATACCTACATATGTGGAAATTGCCAACATGTATTAAAAAAATAAATTGCAAACCATGTAATACTTATTAAGATGAATAGTTTACCTTGCTCACCATAATGGTTCGACTAAGAAATTTTGATTTGTATAGGTCTAATGCCCTCTTGGGTGTTATTCCACATGAAATCACTAGTTCCTGCCCATGTGGTAGTTGCACAATTGAAATTTTGTCAACACAATATCATTCGCGTTAAAAAAACATGTGTTGTATTTTTTTGGTGACAGGAAATTAATTTTAAGCAAAATCGGACCACAACCTGTAGTTTAGCAGGCAGATAGCACACTCCTTTTCCGTCCTTAGAATTTGTCCACAACTCTTCTAGAGTAAAGTGACAGGCCACCGCTGTTATAACCTAATATAACATGGACAAAAAACACTTCATGATACTATAGATTTTTTACAAAATAATTCTACGTAGAAAGCATTGATAGTGGACAAACAAAACAAAATTTTGGAGTTCCGTAGATTACTTCAGCATCTACGAATGAGCGAGGGCTTAAGGACCACAATGACTTCCTGGTACAAGAGTTGTTTGAGGTTTTGACCAATACTTCGTCAGGTGGCAGATTGACTAAAAATATATAATGAGCAAGCTGGATTTGCTCATCATCGTATTCCATACCAGTACGTAGCTTAAACTTCAAAACAACCTGGAATAAGGACCACAAATAAACACGAGTCGAAATGCATTCATTATGTCTGACGGAATAACGGCAAAGAACACTTCAATGGCAAATAGGACACCTTTATTACCTTGTCAACAGAACTTAGGGAAATATTTTTTTTCCATTTGGCTTCTTTGGTGTTACCTCAGAGTCAGATTCATCATCCGAAATAAAAACGATGACTAAAACAAAGTGGATGGAGTGCTTACACCTTTGGGTAGCCTTGGTTTCTTTGTTTGAGTCACAAATTCATCGGTCTCCTTCAATGACAGTGAACCTACGATTAATAAATTAACTAGAATGAATTTCAATGACAGTGCTTACACCTTTGGGTAGCCTTGGTTTCTTTGTTGTATATTTTTTCCTCCATACGAACAAGAAACACATGAATTTTCAGTTTTATATATATATATATGGCAAAGGCTAGCGTACGCCCGGGCGTACCTTAGTCTACCGTACGCCCGTTGAGTTTTACTATTTAGATCATGAATTAACCGGAGTTTTTGGCATGATACTATACCCTAACCTCTAATGGATAAACCCCAGTCCCTAATTTTCTAACCCAACTCATGAGATTCATTTAATCTTAAAAAGTAAATCAACAATAATTTTGACAAATCAAGACCGTTGATTTTCATTTCAAGATTAAATGAGGGAATTCAATCATTATGTGAAAAGCTGGACATGGTGGACACTGGCAACGTGGACATACCCGACATTAATAGACCGAAGACGAATGATATTTTGTTGGATCCATTACAGGTCAAAGCTAAAGGTTCGGGGGCTAAAAAATCTAAAAGGAAGTAAGGAGAACCACGACAGTGTAGTAATTGCAGGGAATGGCGCCACTATAGGACCCGATGCCCACATCCTGTTGGCTATGTGAAGCCAACCTCAAACGGTGATGCCCCGAATGCTGGTGTTTCAGAAGAATGTGGCGGTGGCGATGACACTGATGTTGATCCTCCCACCACTCAAAATCAGTCGGAAACAGTACCGAAGAGAAGGCAAAAGCATTGAAGTAAGTGCGGTTCTACCAATCATAATGCAAGAAAGTGTACTGGGTTTGGGCCATCCGATGATGAAAATGACGATGATGTTGATTCTCACAACGATTACGAGAAACCTAGGGTAAGAATAAAATATAATTGTTTGTGTGTACACAATGCAGTTGCATCCAATATTTTTGTCCGACTAAAATTGGCGTTATCGATTTTGCAGAAGAGGCATGTTACCAGAAGTAGCAACCTAAGGACCAGAGTTTTGGACACTTGAGTTCTTCGGAATGCGTGTGTAAAAGGGCTGCAAGTATTTGATCAGTTTTGAAAACTTGAAGTGAAGATGGAAGTCCTTATCTTATTCGGATTAGGATTATGTGAAGACTGCCACTGTCAGCTTGAAGCGGCGTCGTTTGGTTTATAAGAAGACTGATACCTTCTGCGGTCTCGTTTTATTTATGTGTCTCTTTGGTTTATAAGAAGACTGCTAGTTTATAAGAAGACTAGAAGACTGTTGTCTCCTGCGGTGTCGTTTTATTTATGTGTCTGTTTGGTTTATAAGAAGATTGTTGCATTATGTGTTCTTCAATCGGATGTCTTGCAATTAGATGTTTGTTTATTGAATTCTGAATAGTTCGGATGGATTTGATTTAACTCGATATGGAGGTTGCTCCCTAAATAAATCATGTGCAACATTTCAGTTGAATAATTTTAAGCATTCGTTTTTTATTGAATTATTATATCGTATTTTTTACTTGTTTATAAATTTATTTAATATTGGCTACTAAAATTATGAAATGAAAATTTTCCTTTTTCCATTTCACTTTATTATTTTAGGCGTGAAATGACAAGAGCATGCGACGACAAAGGAGCAGAGTTCGAAATCCGGAAAAAATATTGTTGGCCCAATAGTAAAAGACTTCTGAAAATGGAGTTAGTAATCAAGAAATAAACTACAATATTTTTATTGAGTGAAAGATTCCTCGCCGATCTAATAAGATCTCAACCACTAAAAGTACAAATCTTGAAAAACAAAACAATGTACTTTCCCTCCCACTTTTATACTATACATATGGCAACTTTCCCCTCTTGTATATATTTTCGAAGCATGATCAACATGTAAGCGTCAATATAGCACAAAAAACCACCATATGACGTAGGGTTCCAAAACACCTATTATGGAATCGTAACAACATATGATGATTTTTTTTGGCAATATTCAGACGACGACTTATTGTCATTGCTCCCCTCCCCCCTCTAACAAAGACCATGTATGGAGAGAAAAGAAGAAACAATAAAACGAAGGAGTTAGTTTAACAGTCATGATCTAACAAGGACATAATGAAAGGAACTGAGATCTAAAATAATACGCAGTCTCATCAGTCATCATTACCACTGCACCGGAAAATAAAGCATGGGACATGAGGACGAAGAGGCGGATGGGGTTGATTTTCAGAGTTTCATATCGAGAAAATGGGAGAAAGGGGTCTTTTCAGGGATTGAGAGGAGGAGGAACGAACAGCAGCAGGAGATGAGTGCCTCTCGGGTTTCGGAGCATGGTCTCTCCTTCTCTGATTAAAGAATTTATAAATGGACTCGTAAAATTACTTTGCCTTTCCAGCCCTTCCCATTTACTGAAAATCACACTCCCTACCGCTGTCTCAGCCTTGGTAATGCCAGCACTGGTTATGGGCAAATGCGACTTTCCAGAAACGGCGAAATCTGATTGGGTGACACGTCGCGAAAAGGATTGAAGGTCTTTCACCATCAGATTAAAGGAAAGTTTAGGAATTGACGGGGGGAGATGGGGATGTGCTTTTAGACTGGCTTTGTAGATTAAGTAACTTTTTCATTGTAACACCCTACCATGTATTCATGTTCCTAAAATTTTCCTTGACCAATTTAGGCTTGGTTTACCTACAATCTTTATATGAAGTGCATAGAAAAATAAAGTTGTATTTAAAATCGGTATTGTCTTAAGCCTTAGCTTGCAAAAACTTTACTTGTTCCCTAACTTTTAATTGAAAGATTTGTGGAGAGTTCAGTTCCGCCGCCCACCTTTTAGCCATTCGACTGACAGTACTCATCCATCTCGTTCTACTGATGTCATTCTAGTCCTGTGAGGGAAAAATATTGACGGGGGTGAGACATCACTCAATGAGTAAATAATAACCTAATATAAATATTAATACGAAAATGATATCAAGCTATGCTGTGACTCGGAGTGTCTTCCGTCAATTAAATTCAGTGCATATTTAATAACTTGATAACTTTACTTATGTCTCACCTATGTAGGTTTATACGGAATTTCTTCCCCCGTCCATTCGATCGTTCACATATACGTTATAGTCATACATGATTTGTTTAGGGTTTCACCTTTACTTTACCCTACCTGGTGTTGCAAGCAGTTCATATTTATTCTTATATTCCATACGGAATTTTCATCATTTCATCATATCTTTATACTTCTACCAACACCGCATCATGAGAGGTATTGTAGACTAATAACATTATACACGTCAACATCTCATGGTAGTAGCATAATCAAATGAACATATCATCACTACTTATAAAATAGTTTCCTGATTAATCATTGTACCACTCGTCATAGGAGGTTATCACAAAATATACCTCATCTTGTCACTTGAGATCAAATATAAAACACATCGACCTTCACATATTTCATATCTCGTGTAGGGGGTTCACCTTCTATATATCAAATATGGCAAATACTAAAATTGCCATCTCAATCACATATCACACAAATATGCCAAATAATAAGATTGACATTTAAGTACTCATGTTGCATCCAAAATCACCCATGAATCAGTATCCAATCACACACATGCATACATATAGTTAGCTGGATTCAGTAGATTTTATTCTTTAATTTGCCAAGTCATGCACTCCCCGGGATCTCGTGAACTCGTAATCTCGTAGGCACAAAGTGCCAGATCTCGTAAACTCGTGGGCACAGAGTGCCGTATCTCATCAACTCGTAAGCTCGTGGGGCACAGGGTGCCATATCTCATAAACTCGTAGCCAGGCCTGGCATTACTCCTTAAAAGGAGTTCTCGTATAACTCTTTTATCTCTTAGGCTTGAAGCCTCTTTTCACTTATAACGAGTGCATGACAGGGCGCCATTACGTTTGCTTTAGGTGATCGTGCAATTCTTATAATTAGTCACAACTAAACATATCACTTGTGTGACCCAAGGGCCATTTCATATCACATTCACTTGCATGACTCATAGGCCATTTTGTCTCATCTCGTATAATTGACAAAAGGCAACCTTTCTTGCCATTCTTTTCACTTGACCGCGTCAAATGACATTTCACATATCATATACTCATCACATAATATCGTTTAGCACACACATAACATGTATTATGACCTTCTGGTCATACCATCATACAATTATTTCATCATATCATCACATTATTATATAATTACCATGCTACGATAACCTCATCCAATCATAGAATAATTAAATAATTTCATCACCATTCAATCATGTAACCATACCACATATCGATATTCAATCACAATTACTTTAAAGCTTACCAAACCATCATACACGTTGTACTCGGACCGCTTCATGACCCGAAATACCATAATCATATTAAGATAAACATTAGGTTAGAATTTACTCCCTCATTATCCTGATTCCACTCGATCACTCAGCTTTGACAACTCTTGCTCCTACGTACCCTTCATATAAACGGGTACAATTAAGCATCCCTTGGAAATACATATAGTATTTAAAAGTATTCCATATCAGTAATTAGTTAGTTACCCTTTCATTGACACCAATATATATGCTTGTATATTTAACTTCTCTTTAAGTATTTGCTAGGGGATACATACTTATCATTTTTTTTTATGAACTTGTCTTGCCAAGTCCCTTTTTCCCATTTACGTACTTAGTAAGGGGAGTACTTATTATCATGAGCTTCTCACTTGAGATATATATGTAAATAATTCTCCTATTTTTATTTCTCATAACTACTTGATTAGTATGATTTATTATTTGGGCATGCGCATAACTATAATTAATTAAGTATGCTTAAGATTATCCATTTACATTAACTTTCTAATACTCTGCCACACTATTGTCGGTATTGTAACCTCTCTAATGTAGATAAAATCTTACTTTACTGGGTATCAACTATCATGCAGGCAAATCATACAATCAAGAAAGACAAGGTGATTTACAGCCTGTTTGGATTGACAAAAAAGTAAGGAATTGGAATTCCATTTCCATATATTATGTTTGGAATAATAAAGAGGTTGAGAATTGAATTCCAATGGGTCTAAAATATGGGAATTACAATTCCTATCAAAAGTGATAGGAATTGAGAGAATGAAGATGGAATTAGTGGGACCCATCAATACTTTTTATTATTTTGTTGACCCACTATCATTTTACTCTCTTTCTCTCTCATTCATATTTCATTTCCCAAAATAAAACAAACATATTACATTATTCATTATGATTAAAAGTGCAATTCATTTCCATAGTTGTAGGAATTATACCAAACACTAGAATTGGAAATGGAATTCTATAAAAATAAAAAGTTGAATTCCATTTCCATTTCCATTTCTTCCGGAATTGTATCCAAACAGGCGGTTAGGGTTAAATGATAATAGAAAGAACTAGTAGTAACCTCATTATTTGTTCCCCTGATATGCGAGACCACCTTTTCCATTATACCTTTTTAATTTTGGATTACTAGAGAATGAAAATGATTATGATGATACCTGCTTTAATCTATAACTCCTTTGCTAGTCTCACCAACCATCAATCTCTCTTCTAGCCATGGAGGAAACGAGTGAAGTGGGAGTTTTGGTGGGTACTTTTCAGTGGCAAGAGAGCATAGCTCTATCTTCTCTTTTCCAAGAGAAAGTTAATTAAGGACGATGGATGCCCTCTGCTTTTCTAGGGGATCAACTGCCCCATCCTCTTCAATTAAATCCCCAAAGGATAAGAGACACACGTGGTGTTATTTTGGGGCTTTTGGGAACTATAATTGTCAAACGTGTAGAGTAAATAAGAGGGCAGGATAAGTTGAGTAAACACGTTGTCATCTTCCCCTTGGCTTAAAGGGGTCATTTGGATGCAGGTTTTGGGTGTGGGATTTGAGCACAATCCTACATAATGTGGGATTTTTTTAAAATCACTTGTTTGGAAAGCAATTATATGATAAGAGATTTTAAATATTAGAAATTTCAGAAACCCACAATTGTGGGATTATGAAATAGCTGATGGTGATCAGCTATTTTAAAATCCCACACAAATCCCACAAATTAAAAACCTGGGTTTTTAAACCAGTAATTTGAGCCAAAATCCCACAAATTAAAAACCTAGATCCAAATGACCCCAAAAGGATTTTGGATAGTGTCCCATTATCTAAACTCATAAATCATTAAATATTTTGTGTCATACTCACCAACTGTATTCTTCAAATTTCTTGGTGTGGGCTATCATCAAAACCCAAAGAATGCTTATAAATTTTAATAAGAACTATTACTTCAGTTACCCTCATGTTAATACTTTTAAACAAAATCAACTGAAGTGCGGGTTTGTTTCATGAAACCAGAAGTTTGATCCCAAACTAATTCATCTTATATGAAACTTTGGATAAAATTATATATATTCTCATCAATTTGTCTCGTTCATCATATATATATATATAGAGAAAGAAAATCACAATAGTACCGTACATTTATTAAATGATTTCACGAGAAGGGATGTGACATTCATTTAGCAAAATTAATCTATTGATTTGGTATATGTTATTGTAACCCTAAACCAAACCCTAATACTTGAACCAATCAATACCATATACTCTACAACAATAACACCTTATACCCTAACCAATCAATACCATATATACTCTAAACCATCAACATCTTGCTATCTACCTTATACACTAACCTTCAATACCTTATAGGCTTATGCTCTAAACCATAAACACCTTAGACAATCTCCATCCCATTGCTTATTTAGTGGAATCCTAGGTGGCCCACTTTTAAGCAATTGCAAGGATGTGGGGGTGCTTTCTTATTTAGCAAGATTGATAAATAAGAAATTCATCTTGCAATGCCACCTAGGATATTTTTTATTTTTCAATTACTTTTTCTTTCTTTGTTATGTGGTAAGAAATTGTATGGGCCCACTATTGGCAATTGCTTATTGGTTTTAGGGATGTAGGGGTTTGGAAATTATCGAATGGGATTTTTGCTTGATTGGTGATGTGGCGATAAGGGCCCACTTTAGAAATTGCTTATTGATTGCAAGTATATCCCCAACTTTTAGCAATTGCTAAAGATGAGGTGGAGCTTAGATGGCAAAACTTAGCAATGGTTAGGGATGGAGGAGTTATTTCTAAACTAGTAAGATTGCTAAATTAGGAATTCTTCTAGCAATGCCACATCGATAACTATTTTATTTTTCTATTTTATTGTTTATTAACTTTTCTTGCCCAACTAAAGTACATAGGTACTTCAAAATTGAAATTCTAACTTTCTTTTCAAAACATAATTAAAAATTGATAGTCGCTAAGTATCGAACCACAAACCTCTACTTTATTAACTCAGTAACTAAAGGACAATTAACCAATTAAGCTACATGACATTTATTATCATCATGTGAAATTTTGCTTTCTTATTAAGTAAAGGGTTAAAATAAACGGTAAATATATCATAGGGGATTGTTTCTGCTTCGTGGGGGAGTGAGAGAGTGGAAAAGGAGGGAATTAATGAAGAGTTAAATTGGACGGATTGTCTTTAGCACGCCACGACAAAATCCTTCGGAGCAAAAACATGCAGGTTCAAATCAAAGAATAAATGAAGAAAGATGAATTTAAGTACTCTAACTAATTTTCATTCCATATGTGGCGAATCGCTAATGGCCGGAATCACCAACAAGGCAAAATCGTTAATAGGAACCTACCTTGCACACACCAAATCATTTTATCTCGTACCGATAAATGTGTCACGCTATAATAATTATGTCTAAGTTTTTTTAGTAATAAGGCATGATCAGCATTTATAAGCATATATAAAGAAAATATAAAATCGATAAAAAAGAAAACAACACCTACCCTCACCGGCTCACCCTAACCAATCAATACCATATGCTCTAAACCATCAACACCTTATAATCTACCCATATACCATATACTCTATACCATCAACAACCTAATACCCTAAGCAGTCAGTACCCATTTCCTTTAACATCAACACCTTATACAACAATCGTATACCTATACGCTGATAAAATTTTACATTTTGAAAATACTTGCCCAACTAAAGTACATAGGTACTTCAAAAGTGAAATTCTAACTTTCGTTTCAAAACATAAATTAAAAAAATATCTTCACTCAGTATCCAACCACAAGCCTCTAATTAGTCTACAAGAGGTTTGGTATGTACGAGTGCATTGCATAAAGAGGGGTAATCAGTGAGAGAGTGGAATAGGGCCAATTAATGAAGAGTTAAATTGAGCAGATTGTAGTTTACCTCGTACCGCTAAATGTGTAAAGAGACACGCTACCATTTACCAAATCCCAAAAAAAGATGGAACACATAATTATGTTTAAATTATATGAACTCAAGGAATGATCAGGATTTCAGAAGCAGAAGCATATGAAAATAAAATATAAAATCAAGTAAAACAAAGAATCGAAAACTGGGATAGACAATTATCAAAGGCCCAACCTAATGACAATCCGGAATTCAGTATCTATTATCAACAAACTAGGTGCCATGGATCATGTACAAGCCCACTTTTGAATGTTATTTAAAAGCCTGCAAAAATCAATGATCAGACCCAGTCCAACTAGAATTAGTCCTAAACGCACCGTTAATACATAAACACAAATTAAGGAGACCTCTCCATCCGATTCGAATCAAATTATGTCTTCTTCATCTTCTTCCTCAATCCTCTGGGCGAGACGAACACTACATATCAGGAAACCTTCATTTCACCGAGAGATAGAAGTTATTTTGCAAATGATAATAACGCTAAGACAAGATGACAAAGCACTAGCGACATGAAACATAGGTTTAGCAAACCTCTTTCAAGGGTTCTTTTGCAAATGAAAAGTTTGATGAACACAATAATAGACATGGTCGCCGTAATTGTGTTAGAAAGAGATAGGTGAGTAAATTCCGCCCGGAAATAAAATGGCGAGGAACAAAACGTCGATTTGTGGATACAAGGATTTGGGGTCAAAACAATGATTATGTGAGGATTTCATATTGGATGGGGATCTTCTCTTCGAATGTGGATACATAGATTTGGGGTATGAAACATGATGAGGGGAATTGAGATTGGATAGGGAGCTAAATCGAACGTGGATCAAATAATAAAAGGATTTGGGTTTCGAAACGATGATTTTGTTGGAGATTTCATATTTGATAGGCAGGTTATGATCGAACTTCGAACTAAATACCTCAATCCTAACCCTAAATAGAGGAATACCTCAATCGTACCAAGGTATAGGCAAAGGGTTGACGGGTTTTGGGAAGCAGAGGCAGAGCTACATTGGTGTTCAGTGGAGGGGGGACTTCGGTCCCCAATGATTTTGAAGATTACATGTATAATATCTAAAATTAACTATTTTTATTTATGTGCTTATATTTAGTTTTCTATAAACTCATGATTTTATCTAAATATATTTTTTTATAAAAGAAGTATATTATCCATCGTTCTCGTGCTCGTGGCTCATGAAGTCTAGGCTAGATATGATCCATAAGATATTCGTATTCGTATTTGATCTATATATTTCGTACTCATACTTGTGTACCCTAATCATACCATGTCATATTAGCCTATTGACTTCCAAATTTGTGATCATGTGCATGCTGGTTTGACTAGCGACATTCCTCTGCACCGTTGTCAAGTCATCAAAAATCCAGCTATATTGAGAATTTTATTTTCACATACTACTAGATTGAAATTTAATCGTAGGTTGCCGCTATATACTGTGAATTTTTAAATAAAAACGTTAAAATTGGGGAAAATCCATTAGGAAGTTGAAAATGATTAATTGTTGGCGGAAAAAAAGGATTAATAACATTTTGTACCCACTCTATTATTTTAAATTAACAAACGTACCCTTCTACTAAAATTTCGCACAAATATATCCTTTTAATATTAAAACGTAACAAGTTTACCCTTTTATCTAATTTTCTGTTAAGTTTGTGCAAAAATTAGACGGTAGGTTAAACTTGTTACGTATTAATATTAGAAAGATACATGTGTGTGCAGAAATTTAATAGAGTGATACGTGTGTTAATTTACATTAGTATAGTGGGATAAAATTCTATAAACCGAAAGAAAAATAGGAAACTCTGCATTTGTACCGACAACGATGTTGGGCTTGCTGCTGGCCGAAACTAACAAGACATTTGGGCTAATATAAGGCCCAAGATTAGGTATTAACACTTTTGTGATATTGGTTTCCTGCTTGCCAGCCGACTGCCCTGAACTAGTTGAGTTTTGCCCTCTTTCCGCTGATCTACCACCGTCCTTTCGGCGCTCCGCTTCCGGCGATCCTTGGCCATCCACCTGCCGATACCACAGGGCCGCATTCTTCGAATCGGCTGCTTAAGAGGCGACCTCCTAGCTAAGAGGAGTGGAATTAGAGGGGGGAAATGGCTGCGGCAGCCTCTTTCAGGTGGATTCTGCAACTTCACAAGGACGTACCCAAGGCTGCTCGTTTCTACTCCGAAGGTCTAGATTTCACGGTTAATGTGTGCACTCTACGGTGGGCTGAACTTCATTCCGGGCCTCTGAAGCTCGGCCTCATGCAATCTACCTAGTAAAGCCTACTTTCTCTATCACTCATTAATTATTTGGATGCCTGTTAGGTGTTCGATCATTTGTCTCTGAGAGCCAATGAGAGGCTTCCCGCATTTCAATTTTCCGTTTTCATCCAATGGATGGAAACTAGAAACTCACAGTTCAGGGCAGATTAACACTTTGGCCATTAAAGGCTGTGTCTTCTCACACTGTGTAGCTAGTGCTGGACATTGAAGAGAATACTGACCTTCTGGCTGGCTATCACTGACTTTATGAACATTGCTATTAGTGTACATCACCTAGGCAACATCCTTTCTGGGTGGAAAAGATGGAAGTCGTGTCATAATATAATGGCTTAGTTCCTTGTTAGCTGGCTTTGTAGTGGAGGGCCAGCTGCTGACTCCTATTTTCCAGTGACCATGTTCTGCAGAAGGGGTATTCTTCTTTGCTATCATTTACAGTCACTGATATCAACAGCACTGTGACAAAGCTGATGGCTTTAGGCGCAGAGCTAGATGGACCCATCAAGTATGAAATTCATGGAAAGGTAATAAACTTCCTGCTTAAAATCTTCCGAAGATAAGAGAATTGCTGAAATCACTCCCCTATGTCTTTCTACAATGAAAAGAAGAAAGATTTGAAGATATTTGTTTGTATCAGGTAGCAGCCATGCGTTGTATGGACGGCCATGTCTTGGGGCTTTATGAACCAGCATAAAAGGGTCTACAAAGGAAAGAATAAAGAAGTCAAATTTGATGCCAAGTGTGGGGTAATTGCTGCCGACTTGCTGCTGGCTGGGGGTTTTGTTCTTATTGCAAAGTCTTGGAATCTGCTGAAGACACGGGAGATTTCTCCATGCTTTGGGTTTCCTTTGATTATTGATACCGTTTGTTGATCAAGATCTATAATTGCTGTGCATAGGGTGTATAGAGTTGGACCTGGAATTAAGGCAAAGCTGTGAGATGGACAGGTGAAATGATTGAATAGAGAGAACAAAGGTCCAGCATTTCCATTTTGTTGACCTACCATTCATGTAAATGGGGTATCTTTTGTCCCCTGTATCTCCTAGAATTGACAGGAAATCCTCCTTTGGTCTTTTCTACAGAACAGCAGCTCTTTCTTGCCTGCTTTTTGAGTTGTCATCTTGTACCTATGCTGATGATTTGATTCAATAACAGTTTTTGTGGTAGAAAAATCTCATTGAACTTTCGCAGTTCATCACCTGATCTACTTGAAGGTGGAGATACATATTTGCATGAAAGAATGGTGTTGTTTCAACCTCGTGAACTGAAACCCGTTTTCTCGAGGCTGCTTCAACCTCCAAATTCTAATATCTTTCTATCTGGCATGTAGATGAGATTGTAGCAGTGCCCTTCTGAAACTTCACATGAATGAATTCTCTGCAGAAAGAAAAGTTGAACTCTTTACTTAAACCTCTGTAATGATGAATCACAGTGAAAATGGCAGTATTTCCAATCCACCAATCCAATCCATTTGCCACCTCTAATATTAAGTAAATACTGGCGTATCTACCCATTCAACAACCGAACTGGGGCCGGCCCGATGGCACATGAAGTGTTTTTGGTGGGCAAGTTGAGGGGTTTACTTTGGTGATGTGATTTCTATGGTTGGTGATATGGTGGACAAGCATAATCCAAGAGGGGTAGGGTACCAAACAGTGATGCAGAGAAGAAATGAAGGCACTTTGTTGGGCATCCAAGTAAAATGCAGTGTTTTCAGGAACCACTGGGGAATTGGAGGGAGCTGGAACAATATATATGCATGTACTATTAGCTGCTGGAATGGAGGGGAAGGGAAGGACGACTGAACTCCTCTTTGATATGTGTTCTGATATGACTTACTTCATTTCATTTCATCCCTTTTTTTCTTTCTTTTGGCCATAATTAGGGTTTTGATGGGTGGAGGGGTGGAGAGAGCACTACAATTTGCCTGTTTAGTGCTTGGAGAGATATGTGGAGATCTCTTCAAAGTTCAAACATCCCATATGCAATTATGAAGCTTTTTTTCCCTTCTTTTCACCCCAGCTATGTGTTCCTAAGGCATTGCAAAGCCTAAGTGTTGACACCTAAAATTAATTTGTCCTGAATTAAATGCCGCATTAATTAGTCTCGGCATTTAATTCGATACCGCGGGTTTAAAACGGTGTCGTTTGGAGTTGAGCGGTGTCGCAGAGAGTTAAAACGATACCGCGAAACAGAAAAGCGGTACCGCAAGGAAGCTCAGCGGTACTGCGACACAGACAACGACACCGCCGGAAAATAAGATGGGGCCGCGCGTTTAGTTGGTGTTGGAGAAGGAGTTTATTTATAATTAATTAATATTTTTATTCCTCGTTGGAAGGGGAAAATCGGTACCGCATGGAGATAAGCGGTATCGCGGAGAGTTAAAACGGTACCGCGGATTTAAAAACGATGCCGCGAGAACCTGGTAAGCGGTACCGATTAATTAAAAAATCATATCGGGCAAGTAACCAAAATTCAACCAGCCTAATGCGAGCGCCGACTGCGGCGGTTCCATGGATTAATATTTTTTGGTTATATCACCGGTGTCGTTTAATCCAAAACGGTACCGCGAGTAAGCCCAACGGTACCGCGGACTAACAAACGACGGTGTTTAAAATAATAAACAGTGTCGCGGAAGAAAAACAAACGGAGCCGTTTTGGCGCTAATGATGTCGTGGTCAATACACGAGTTGGACTAGTGAGGGCCAGATTAATTACTTAATATTTTTAATGGCTTTTTAGCATGGTGTCAATTAGTTGAAAACGATGCCGCGAGTGGGCCAAACGATGCCGCAATAGTTAAAACGATAGTGGTAAATGCAAAGCGGCATCGCAAAGTTCAACAGCATCGCAGAAATAGAAAACGATGCTGTTTAATTAAGAACGACGCCGCGAAGTGAGAGTTTGACGGCGAGTTAACAATGATGGCCGATTTAATTAATTAATATTTTAAGGATCAGTTAAGACGGTGTCGCTTTAGCCGAAAACGACATCGTGGGTGTCGACACCGTTGCGGTACTGAAACGATGTTGTTTAATAGAAAACAACGCAGTGACGAGAGTTCAGTAATGGTGGATTTCGGCTCAGTGTCGTTTTGGGCCAAGTTGCCACGTGCTCAAGCGGTTTCGCACTCGTGGGAGTTACGCAACAAGGAGGAAGTTACCTGCACGGTTGACAGGGGTGAAGACGTGGGAGACAAAGGAGCGAAGGCAGTTACTACGACGAGGAGAGGCGCGAAGTATAAAGATTGGGAAGAGAGAGAAGTTCAGGAGGGCAAAATCAAATCACAACTGCACCATCGCAGATCTTATCTTTTCTCTCTCTAGTTCGTAGAACCGCTCTGTCAAAGAACTCCTTTGCAGAGTCGTAGATCGTAGCTTGTAGTCGTAGTCGCGGAGCTCTCCAGAGGAACCTCCATAGGAGTAGAGGTAACGTAACTTAGAACACTCCTGGTTCGATTTTCTGTTTATTCGAACACCCTCGTTCGAACGTAGTTTGGAGAGGTGTTGAACCGAATAACAGTTGTTTGATTAGAAGTCAAAGGTGTATCGATCAAATCAACGACGCCGACACCGGCGGCGGCCATTTGACGATCGTCTTTATTTCTATTTTAATCGATCAAATCAACGGCGCCGACACCGGCGGCGGATATTTGACGGTTGTGATTGACGTGTGTTTTTGTGTTTTTCTTGAAAACCGTGCACAGTTAACACACGAGTTTCGCCAACGAAACAAATTGGCACACCCGGTGGGACACGTGTGTTCGAATGGCTCCACGACGAAGGAATCCGGAAGGGGATGTCCCGCCCGGAATCGTGGAGGAACATGTGGCCAACATTGAAGGAGGCCAAGGAATCGGTGCTGAAGACATCGGCGGGTCCGAGAATCCGCCGTCCACAGCTGGGCCGACTGGGGATCTGTCAATCCGCCATTTCATGGAGGAGAATCGTCGCATGTTTGCTAGCCTCAAAAATGAGTTCGCAGGCTTCAAAGGCGAGGTAAATCAACGTTTTGACGCTTTAACTGCACGACATGATTCTCTTGAGTCTCGTGTTGATAGGCGTTTAGGCCAACTCTTTGAAGTTGTGACTAAAAACAGACATGATTTTGATGTTTTCGGGGATAAAAATCTACGTGATATGAATGAAATCAGGGAGCTCTTGGGTAGACCAGTAACGCAACCTAGGGATTTGCCCCTAAACGGTGAAAACAATTTAAACAGCGAAACTGGTTTTCCAAACAACAGTGCTCGAATTAGTCCGCCAAGACAAGGAGCTTCGCCGACACCGGTGATGAACCCACCAACTCCGCGAGTTAATCTTGGCGAGACTAGCACTGCCGCTCACACTCGGGTTGAACCACCGCCGTTTCACGGTGTGGGTCCACAAAATATTCCGGAGGCCAGACCTTACGTGGCTCCGATGAGCGGTGCTGGTGGTGGAGGAACGATCAACAATGATCATGTTCCGCCACGCGGCTACCCACAAAACGTGCCTCCTCCTCCAAACGGGCTTGGCATGGATCCTGGTGGATTTGTACCACAAGGGGGGCAACTCGGGGGGCAAGACGTTAATGCGATTCGAGATCAAGTAGCACAGATGCTGGCGGATCTGTTTGGTTTATGGATTAGACCAGCGATGCCGCCGGTGTATCGAAAACCATATCCGGATTGGGTTGATAGATACTACCCCTTTCCACGTGGTTTTCGCGTGCCTGATTTCATCACCTTCAGCGGGGCTGGGGATCAGTCCACCGTCGAGCATGTTGGACGATTCACGGTTCAGTGTGGTGATGTGAGTGATTTCTTGAAGTTGCGTTTGTTTGGCAACTCGTTGACCGGTCCCGCGTTCGCGTGGTACGTCAACTTGCCATCGAACTCGGTTCAAACTTGGCAGCAAATGGAACAAATGTTCCATGCCCAGTTCTACCGTTCTGAGCCAGAAGTAACTATGGCAGACTTGGCACGAATGCGCCAACAGCCAGGAGAAACAGTGGGACACTTCTTAACTAACTTTAAAAATGCGAGAAATCGTTGTTTTGTGAACTTGACAGAACGCGAGGTTGTTAAACTTGCCCAGGGTGGATTGAATTTTGAACTTCGTAAAAAGTTTCAAGATAGGGAGTTTTCTGATTTGTTTCAATTGATGTCCTGCGCTGTTAGATATGAATCTCTTCTCCGTGAAGAAGAACATAAGAGAAGTGGCTCTCGCGGACAATATTTCCCTAATTTTGAAAACTATGGTGTGAATAATGTCGGCAACGATGTTGACGAAGTTGAGGTTGATTTGGCCGAGATTGTGCAGGGGAAGCCATATGTGTGTGCTTCTCTAGCCAAGGCCGATGGGGAACCACAAGGTGGAAAGCCCAATCGTGCTCCGATTCAAACTAGGAAATATTCCTTCGATGTCTCAAAATCAGAACTGATTTTTGACCAGCTTTACAAAGATGGTCAAATTAAGTTGACTGGGGGGCATACTATCCCGTCAGCTGAAAAATTAAAAGGGAAACGCTATTGTAAGTGGCACAACAATGTGTCTCACTCAACTAATACGTGTGTAGTGTTTCGAAACGTGGTGCAGGATGCTATTGAAAAAGGTCGGTTCAAGGTACTGGAGCCGAGGAAGGAGGCCATGATTGTTGACACTGACCCGTTTCCCAACGGTGTGGGCGTCAATATGGTCAACGTTGTGGGGGGCAACATTGTCGAAGCTCTTTTGTACCACAAAGTCCTGGGTCCTCAAAAAATTAGAAGTATAGAAGGGGGACCATGCAACGTCGCAGTTTTAAGTACAAAGGTGTTGGGTAAGGCGTGCTTGAACTCGTTGTCTGATATTATGAGACCATCAATGCTTGCATTGGGTGGTCCACCAAAATTTGAGTAAGCCACCTCAAGAGAGGGTGGCGAAGGCCGAAATTACGGCCTTGCTAGAGGGGTTGTCGATCAACGGCGAGGATGCGAGTAACAAGTTGGGAGAGGAAGCAGTGTGTTGTCTGCGACATTGTGGAAGAAATCAACTTTGGCGGGAAGGATGATCAACATTCAACGTTCATATTGCCAGCTTGCATGACTCTAACAGGTATGAGTTAACTCTAATTCTGAATGGCTTCAAAGATTGTTTTACATGTGAATGTTAAGAAATATAACATGGATATATTGCAATCATGTT